ACGCACTGCTTACCTTATTAATAAATTCAGTCAGTTCAGCATTATTAGGTACACGTCCTAATGCTCTCACAATAACTGAAACATTCCTGTAATCACAAATATTAATGAAAAGTTTAAAATTATTCATACGACTTATTAAAATGACATATATACTGTATCTTGCCTTATTTCTTAATCAACTATTACAATATAAGTCGTTACCTGTTTTGACGTTAATTTTCTGCTGTAGTTAATATGTAATATGTTTGGTTAACCAAATATGCTTAGATAGCACAACTTTTTTAAATGATTAATTTGGGAACAAAAAGATTTTCTTCTTCTTCAAGTAGCTGAATACTCGATTTTGTATAAAATTTAAAAAAAGATCTTAGATATATAAACACTACGCCAAACTCACTACGACATATTCGCAAAAGTAAAATTTATTTATGTACGCTATTAAAAAATTTTCAATTTTACATTGCACATTATGTTGACTTTTATTATTGTACTGAAAAAACACATTCTTAAAGTTAAATTAATAAAAAGAAAAAAGAAAAGAAGTAGAGAAGGAAAATTAACGGTACTTTTCAGTTAACCGGGCTCAAGTCGCCAAAAAATATAGACTTTTGATAACTTTTTTTTTTTTCTTAATATTTTTTTCATTATATTTATTTTTTAAACATTTTACTTAATAAATGTTTCCAGAAAATTAAATAAAATTAAAAAATTAAAAAAGAAAATTTAAAGATTAGTTTTCTTTCACCCGGCTAACTGAAAGTACCAAATTAATTTTATTCAGAATCATTCAGCACCGAAAAAGATGTTATTGATCACAACTAACTCATGATAGTCAAAATTTACCACAATCAAGAAATTTTTCTGCCAAATTTACTTTTTTTGTTACTGTACCTGGTATTTGTTTATGTTAAAAGTGGTCACATTTTTAATAGCAGAAATGAGAATTAAATTAGCTGATTAAATTAGCTAATACATTTTTAAAATAGCTATTTTCGGCCTGTTTAAAAACAACTTGTAAAAAATGAAAAATACCATAGATGCATACAATTCTATTGAAAATCAAACTTATTTGGAAAATTTATTACTTGATATCAGTTTTTCCATTTTCATTCTTATCAAAAACTTTGAAAACTTCTTTGATCTGCTTCTGTATGTTAATTTTATAGGGGCTTATACCTAATAAAAAAATATTATTAATTTGTAAATGAAAACTTTTACTTTATAAAAAGTAATATTTATAAGTTATCGAATATTTTATCTAAAATTAAACTTCCTCGGTTGATTTGCTAATATTACCAGATACTTCTGATATTAAGATGGATAAACGTTTTATAAAATGTTTGAGAATTTTTATTTTCACTATTTCAAAATTAAATCATATGATTTGTAATGATCCTTTCAAAGGGTTTGAAATTTAGGAATTGAAAATAACCAATTTGTTTACGTCCTAACCTGGCTGTCTACGCTAAGAACAAAACACATTTTGCTTGGTTTTTTTAATAACATAGCAATTATATTACATCAACAACTTCAATTGAAGAAACATTGAAAATTGAATATAGTGAATGACGCTAAGGTCAGAATATAGTTAAACCTGCTCAAATTTAGATAGAAAATACTGGCACAAATATAACATCCTTGCGCTGTTTGAAGGAGCATACTCCAAAAAAAAATAACACTGCGAGGATAAAAAAGATATATATTTTATTTTGCTTAAAAGATATTTTTTGTCACTTTATTAATTATAAACAATAACCAGGGCTCGAAAAAAATCAGAAATTTTACCCGTCCCCGAGGACGGCTTGTCCAACAATGTACCCGTCCTCCTTTGAAACCAACCCGTCGCTTCTAAATAAATAAAAATATAGATTTCGCTTATTTGTTACAAACATTTGCATAAATTGCACAATGAATTAGTAGTTATTAGGATTAAAAATACTAGGATTACATTATACAGTAATAAAAGAAATACTAGGCTACTAATAATAACCTAGTACTTCTTTTATAAAATAATTTATTTCTTTTATGAAATAATTTAAATGACAAAGGTCAAGTTATCTGGAATGTCAATTTATCCGAGGGTACTGCGTGTTTTAAAGGAATCAAATATGACGTCTGCTAGTTCCGCAATCAAGCCAATGATTTACAGAGGTTTCGGCACAGAAATCTGAAAAGGGTTTTCTATTTAAGTAGATGTTCATAATTGTGTTTAACGTTTCTTGTTTAAGACCAGTACGTATTTTGTTTTTTTGTAAGTTCATTGCTGAAAAGCCCCGGTTGAAAAACGCTGCAGTACTCCCAGACCAAGAAAACATCAATTCCACCATGAGCAGTATGTTGCAAGGAATTAACGGGATTTCTAGATTAGAGGGTCATTTTAGAAGTGAGGCACAAGACTCTTGTAAGATAACAAAAATTGAAAATGTATCACGAACATTAACGGGAAAATGGCCGTCCGCGCGGACGTCGGATTCGAAAAATTCGTTGCCCGCGGAGAATTTTTGACCGCCGAGGACGGGCGGACGGGTGGTTTTTCGAGCCTTGATAATAACCCTTTACTAAACTTTGAATTTTATTATTCTAGCGTGATTTACTTTATCAATATGGTAAGTTTATACTATGTTTCAATTCAGTACTTTCGTTAAACTCAGACTTTTTGTCTATGTACTTTTTTTTATTAATAATCGAATATCTCTTAACCGTAGTGTTTTTTACATATTATAATTTTAAATTTTTTATGGTAAGTCTGAGATAGGGCACCCTAATAAATCTAGCGGGAGGTCTTTTGGTCTTTTTCTCGAGTTGAGAGTATCCTAATGAATGCCTGCAAGCGATATCATGCGTGAGTAAATAGTGTCATTTGTTTATGCTATGATTCAGCATCCAATCATGTTTAACACACACGCGTGACGGCATTTGCAGATATTCAATTAAATCTGATCCAAACATTGATTCAGCATGATAATAAAACAAGCCTAATAACTGCAACGTTAACAGACCAAACGCAGCCAAGTGAATAGGCCAAACTATGTGATTTCAGTGGTATTCCTTTTCCCGTGTTGCAAGTACTGAATTGTTAGATGTTTTGTATCAACTCAAGCTTGTATCATCATGATAATTTTCCAGTTTCAAACATCCCATGTTGATTATTTTGGTTAAATTTATCACAAATAACCAAGACGTTTCAAAATGCAGGGTAGGGGGTAGTCACGCATATTCGATTATCAGAAATTTTAAAGAAAAAGCTTAATTGTTCCCTAATTGTTGAAAACTTTAAATCAACAAAAAAATAATAATACTTTTACTGTCGAAAAAATGCTACAAATTCTACAGTTCCATTTATGATGTTAGGCGATTCAACCGGAGCAGGAAAAATCTGAAGTAATTTCGCATACAGATTATTTTATAGATTTGAATTAAACTTTATTGTACCTTTCGGTTAGCCGGGAACAATTAAACTGATTTTTTTTGCTAGTTTATTTATTTATTTTTCACACAAAAAATGGAAATATAAAAATAAAGAAGATGTATTATGGAATATATACATATATAAAATATAAAAACTGGATAAAAAATTGAAATCAAATGATTAAATGAATGGAATAAATAAATAAAATAAATAAATAAAATAAATAAATAAATAAAATAAATAAATAAATAAAATAAATAAATAAATAAATAAAATAAATAAAATAAATTTAAAAAATATATAACATAAATAAATAAAATAAAGAAGAGTTGATAAATACAATGTAAAGTAAAGCATAAATTATAATGTAAAGTAAAGAATAAAGTATAAAATAAAAGTATAAAGTAAAGTAAAAATAAAGTAAAGGAAAAGAAAGCCCAACGTAAAAAAGTAAAGGAGAGGAAAGCGCAAAGTAAAAAAAGGAAGTAAAAATAAAGTATCAGGTAAAGAAAAGGAACGCTCATAATAAAATAGTAAAGTAAACTGTAAAGTATGGAAAAGTAAACTGTAAAATTTCATTAAAAATAAAAAGTAAAGTTAAGGATAAAATAAAAGGAAGTGCAAATTAAAATGCAAAGTAAAGTCAAACGTAAAGTATTAAGTAAAAGTAAAAATTGTGGTATAAAGTAAAGTATAGAGTCTAAAATATAGTAATGCACAAAATATAAAATAAAATGTAAATAAAAGTAAAGGATAATGTAAAATGGGAAGTATAAACTGTAAAATATTATCTAAAATATAGTGTAAACAATAGAGTAAAGTATAAAGTAAAACATAACGTTAAGCAAAATGTAACGCAAATAGATAAATATTTGTTCAATCCAAAAAAGGGAAAGAAATATTTGTGCAATCCAAGTAGAGAAAAAAAAATATTTGTTCAATCCAAGGGGAGGGGGATAGATTCGTTCAATACAATCCAAGAACTTAACTTTTTCACATCCCATCCCAATAGAGGAGGAAGTGCATGTCTCTTGTTCATCTCATGATTCTTGGCGAGGGCAAAAAAGGAAAAAAATTTTTTCCTTTTTTTCATATCATTAATAAAAATGAACCATAAATTTTTTTTCAAATCATTAATAAAAATGAACCATAATTTCATATAACACTGTAATTATTCGGAAAATTCAAAAACTGAGTCACCGATAAACAGTTTGTTCAAACGTTTGAGTAATTTTAAAATAATTTTTCAAAAGTGTAATCATGCTCTTTGACATTAATGTATAATGTTATAAGTAAAAATTAATCCTAATTTTGAGATGAGATGGCGAATTTTGGGAGCTTCTTTCCTTTAGTTCAGGTTATCGTGTATCAGCAATCTGGTATTGTGTCGTTATCAGTAGTTATAATATATAGTAGAGATATATTTGTAATTATCAACCATGCAGTATTTACATAATAAAAGTCACTGTGAAATGCTATGCTTCTTATGTAAACTTCTATTTTTTTTTAAACTTGATAATCAGTAATTTGTAAAATTCGATAGCAGAGAGAAAATCTCGTGCCATTTCATCACGTGCAGAGTGACGTAATTTTCCTCACTTTCACTGACATTAGTAATTTTTAGATTTCAGTGAATACTTGTTAATTTCATGCATCTGTAAGAACTAGTTATTTGTACTTTGTACTATAAATATCGTTTAAGTACTCGAAAACTGATATTATGGCATTTGTAAAAAGCAACTTGTTATTATCAAAATACAAGCAAATGTATTCATATTTCATTTCTGGCATTAAAATCGTAAGAGAAGAGTCCACAGTATCTCCAATCATAAAAACTTTTTCAATTTATCGTTTTGATCCGGAATCTTCAAAGAAAAAGCCACGTATGCAAAAATACCAAATAGATACAAATAATTGCGAATCAACAGTTTTGGACGTTCTGTTCAAAATAAAGAATGAAATAGATCCTTCTTTGACGTTCCGTCGATCATGCAGAGAAGGTATTTGTGGTTCTTGTGCCATGAATATAGATGGATTAAATACTCTGGCTTGCTTACATAAGTTCGACCCTAACGACAAAAATGTTGTCAAAATATACCCACTTCCACATATGTACGTTATAAAAGATTTGGTGGTGGACATGGACCAATTCTTCGAACAGTACAAATCCATTCAACCTTGGTTGCAAAGAAAAATCGAAAAGTCAACTGATCGAAAGCAAATCCTGCAAAGCGTTGAAGATAGAAAAAAATTAGATGGTTTATATGAATGCATTTTGTGTGCATGTTGTACAACTTCATGCCCAGAGTACTGGTGGAATGGTGAAAGAGGATTTCTTGGTGCGTCAGTTATTTTAAATGCCTATCGTTGGATTATTGACTCTCGAGATGAAGCTACAGAGAAGAGATTGGATATGATGAAAAACAAAGTTTCAATATACAAGTGCAAAACAATCATGAACTGTACATTGGCATGCCCGAAACAATTGAACCCAGGAAAAGCTATAGCTGAAGTCAAAAAATTGGCGAGTGGATTAGTTAAAATCAAGCCACCAAAATCGCCCCATTAATTAAGTTATTACAGCTTACAAATTATAAAGCTAAAGTATTAATAAAATATAATGCTTTATGTACAAGTTTGCCTTTACTTCCGCTGTTAGACATGAAGTTCAAAAAAAATGAAGTCAAATAATTGTTCGTACCGTAAAGAAGAAGAGAATTAATTTTCATAACTATTTGCGAATTAAATTATTTAAATTCAGAAAAAAAAATCAATAATATTGCATTAACGTATTTTACTGTGCTTATACAAATTTTGTGTTACTTCCAACTTTTTTTTATAAACTTTTCAACTTTTTCAAATGAAACAAAGATAGTTTCTTTTAAAATCTTATATGGTACGAGTTTTGGAACGATTGTGAATACTGCCGCCAACACCAAAATGGCACGTAATAATTTTAGCAAAAACTCTTAATTAAAGTTTTTTCGTTTCTTCGCATTACAGAGAAAATTAAATTTACTATAAAAATTTTAATTTACTAATCACACAGTAAAAAAATAATAGTTTATATGATCCCGTGTATTTCACTGAATTCCAGTTACATCGTATACTAGGATTGTACAGTCTAAAGCTCTAGATACGTATAATCCAGAACATTACAGACCTTTTTGCAATATATAACCCAATTGATGACAATTTATTAAATATTAATTCAAAAAATATTTTTGAAAAACCTGACTTTACCATTAATAGTAAATTACAAGATTTACTTACATTTTAATGTAAGCTTGGCGATAGGTTTTTGATTCTGTCAAAAAAATTTAATACTTATCAGTTTTAAATTTAGGTCTCTAGCTTAAAAAATAAAAAAAGATCGTTTCAAAAACCTAATTTTCCTTTAAGTATTACATTTATAGACAATGTTTGCTTCGATCATAAAAAGACCAACTATCACAATGCATATACACTATTATTATTCCTTGTATTGTACTCGAAATTGAGTAGGACCTTGTAGTGCTGTACATAAGTACTGTGTAGTGCTGTAATGCAATCATTCCTGTCACATTTTGATTATGGCTAGTATTTTGATCATTGTTGTTGTTTCTTATGACACTTAGACAAGCCAAACACGCTAGCCAATAGCCTTTACGAATTAAGTAAAGAAGGTGCACCTTTCGTTTGACAAGAGAGCACCGCATGGGTGAAAGTACGTCTCAGTGGAGCAGAATTCAGAAGAAGGCACTGCCTCACTCTGGACTGTCAAGCTAAACATGATGATGACTAAAATTTAATAATTCTTTCACAAAAAGTTATAACCCTTGACCTAAAGACACGTATGTAATAGAATGAGGAATTTAGCTGAATTATGTAGTTTTTAATAATTAATTAATTAATTATGAAAAAATTAATTGTAAGGTATAAAAAATTTTATGTATTCAAAATTGTCAGATGTTTTAAAGCTAAATTTAAATTTTCACGTCATTCGGTTAATAAAAACTTGTTACCACCTTTTATTTATTTCATTAATCTGGTATCAAATTTGCTTCACCGAGTAGGCTTTACTTAAGGAATGCCTATGAAAATCTTTCTACCACTTTTTATTTATTTTTAAATTTAGGGTCACGTTTAATTCACAGTACGGAAGTTTACGCAGGAATTACTTAAAGGCATAACGATTCCAGAGTCATGCTTTACCTAAATCTGTTTTGACCAAAACGAAAAACTGGCAACATTCCATATTTTATACCAAATGTTCACTTGTCTTTGTAGACCTCCTAATTTTTAGAATTTTATGAAATTTATTGTCCGGAGTTATATTTAGACACTAAATTAAATGTAATCAAAAAATTTTATGTTTCTTCGGAAAAAAGAAAAGTCAATATAATATTCTACCACATATACATAATATTCTACCACATATACACTATAATATTCTAGCATATTCTGCCACAATTACAGTTAGATATAATTTAAAAGATTTCTTTGAGATATTGCCATAACATTTTAGAGTATGAAGATACAAACAACCATTCAAAAGTTATTAGGGTGGTGATTCGTTTTGATTATTTTTATTATTTCCTGAATGTAAAATGATCATTAACATCTCAGGATTCAATAACGCTAAATCGGAATATTAAATTTAGAAATATAGACGTTAGTATCGATCACATACAATCAGTATGCAGGTACTAACATCACGTACATTATAGACTTGGTTGCATACGTTAGAAATATTTCCGGAAAATGTCACCAAAGGTTATAAATCAGAAAAAGGTACTTAACTATATTGGAAATTTTTAAAGAAAAAATGCAATAATAAAAGTTGGATAGCTTATCGTGATAGCCAGGAATTTTCGAGGAAACTTTTAAATACATCAGAAACTAATTTTAAAGCTATTTTAATTTACAATTTTCTCACCTTTAAGCATAGTGACTTGCGTGTGATTAAAATTGGACTTATATTTACAAGTCACGAGAAAAATGCAAAAATGGGTTATTAAATCTTTATTAACAGTTAAATTCTTACAAAAGCGAATATTTTTATGATTTTAACCATTTTCATAAAACTGCAAGCATTTTTTTTACCATGGTTTGTTTTTTATTTAAAAAAAAGGAAAGTTTAAAAATTTACAATTAAACAAAAAAAGGACAAAGTATTATTTTTAAATTTAACCAAGAAAGTGAAGGTCATCAAAATTTTTCCTGGTTATCAGGCTTGTAACCAAAGGTGAGAAACCTCATCAAACACCTGTAAGCTACATGCTAATGCCTGTTTCAGATTTAGAATTCTAAAAACAATATCATTCGCCATTAAACATTCTACGATTTTCAGTAGACAATGATTATATGAGCTTGTTAGAATTGCGAAAGTTTTAAATTTTAAGTATACCAAACTTGCTTCTAAATGAATGTTTCAAGTGATTCTGAGTTAACATTGGAGCTTTCTGACTCCTACAAAACATCAAAGGTGAAAGACTATGTCTCGCAATTTATCCTTTCTGACGAAACTATGGTGGATGTTAAACAGTTACTTGAACACGAAATGAATTATGGCTTGAAAGATCCAAATTCCGATATGCAAGGAACTTCAATGGAAATGAGAGTTACCTTTTTCACGGAACTTTTTAATGGATTTGAAAAGGGCGATTATGTAATTATATTTTTAGATAAAAGATATCTAGTTTTGGCTCTAGTTAAAATAAGTCCTGGTTTTTCCCCCGAAACAAAAACACAAGTTTACCCTTTAAGTGAGAATGTCAAAAAAACTCCTTACATTAAAATATTTGAATACATCAGCGATTGTTTGCTGGAGTTTTTTACCGAATTAAATTTATTGGAAGAAACTCAAGTTGTGGGGTTTTGCTGCAACTTACCAGTCGTACAATTAGGTATTGATGACTGCACGATATGTTATTTTACTTCTGAAGCATCTAATTTTCCTCTGAATTGTTACGACATTCATCGATGTTTCAATATCGTTCTTCGCAAACCGAAATACAAGAACTTAAAGTTCGATCTCGCAGCCATTTTGAGCAATAACACTAGCTCGTTTATTTCCACTGCGTACATCCATGGAAATATAGATATGTTGGTTAATTTTGAAGATGATTGCAATATTCTGTATTGGGAAGATCGAAAGTTAGTTGAAAAATGGCGAAAATCTGAGTCAAATGAAGGAAAAGTGCTTATTGATTGCGATCTTAAGAATTTTGGGAAGTTAGGGACCATAGACTTTATTTCAACAAACCATGATTGGGACATAATACCAGAACACCTAAATGACAATTATGAAAAACACTGTTCTATGGGTCAGTTATTACTTCCGAACTCAGTTCTTGAATTGATTAAACGAATATTACTTTCATTGCACCACGATTTACTCTACTGTAGAACTGCAAACATAGAGTCATTACAAAGTAAAGGTGTGTCTTTAACAGATGTTATAAATCTTGTGAACAATAAAAATGACGATCAAGCGCTCGTACTTTTACCTGGAGGAACTGTCTGTGGCACAGTAGATGATGCTAAAATCGCATGTTATGTTATCGATATAATTCTAAAGCGAACTGCACAGCTAAAGTCAATCTGCCTCGCAGCATTCATGTCGAAATTTGCATCGAACGACTTAGTTGTAATTATAAAATCATCATTGTTTTGGCAATATTTAGAATATGAAGCTGATATCAGAAACATAATTCAAAAACTACTACCCAAAAAAAAGTTCCAATTTTTTCGTCCAAGCAATTTTGCTAACTATGAAGGTGCCGCATTAGCGACTTCGATAGCTGTAAGAATGGACAAAAAAGAACTTCATTTTTAAGTTTCTAGTTGAGCATTTGGACATTCTGTACGACACATTTGAACATTTTTTTTATTTTTTTATTATTTTTTTAGTTAAAAATCTGTAGTATGGAAAAGGAAATATGTTATTTGAGTGAAAGTATGTTAAATGTATGTTCTCTATATAAATGGAAAGTAAACGCATGAGGCGATTTATAAAACTATAATTCCATAATTTGTGATTTAAAATTTGCTTTGGACTTACCGATACAGGAATTCTAACACAGCCTTTATATCTAATGATACTAACTAATTTGAATTTTCTAATTTTCCATACACGAAAATTTTCTCCATGCATTCTTCATTTAAAATATGATTATTGATTCATCGGTTCAGCTCAAACTGGTATAATTATAGATTTAAGATTGAATTAAATTGTGAAAGCTTAATGACACAAGAGCTGGATTCAACTTTACTGTGTCAAACATGAAAAAAAAACTATAAAGAATTTAAGGAATAGCTACAATACGGTGTCTTAGATGAATGAGTTGTAAATTTTTTTCTGCTAATATGCCAAAAATTAAAAGTTTTCATTGTGTGCAGTCAGTAAATAGTGAGACAGCTCCTATTTTACTTTAATTAAGAAACCTCAAAACAAATGTTCCCAAAATATTCTGCTGTTACACTAGTCGTAGTCACAAAAAAAAATCTTGTGCTATTTCTGTTGCTTAAATCAATAACACAAGCACTCCTTTGCTTTATCATCCCCATAAAAAAATGAGCACAGCTTTTATATTATTGTTATTATAAGTAGTAGTAATAGTATTTAAATTATCTGAGATGTGAAAATTACTGGGGGGGGGGGACAAATCTATACTAGATGGTTCATTGTTTAGGACTTCTTTCTGAAATTCATGTTCCCTCTGGCTGAGTTCACTGTGAGAGAGTCAACATTAGCGTCTCAGCTTGCTGCGTCCTCTGTAAGTAGACAGCAGAAGCAAATTTTGGAAAATCAAAATCCATACACTTGAGCAGAAAACGCGACTCACTGAGACGGTGATATCAGCTTAGACTGCGAACCAAACCGTTTGCTGGAGTTTTTTACCGAATTAAATTTATTGGAAGAAACTCAAGTTGTGGGGTTTTGCTGCAACTTACCAGTCGTACAATTAGGTATTGATGACTGCACGATATGTTATTTTACTTCTGAAGCATCTAATTTTCCTCTGAATTGTTACGACATTCATCGATGTTTCAATATCGTTCTTCGCAAACCGAAATACAAGAACTTAAAGTTCGATNTAAAAACTTTTAAGTTAGGAAACTATGTGGAACTGAAAACTGCATTGAACATAGTTCTAAAAGAGAACGTCGTAGAAATGTTTAAAAACTATTTTTGACAGTTAAATACGAAAAATATTAAGAAAAGGGAAATATCGTAGTACATTCCTATACAACTGAGGAGAGGAGAGCAAAGGAGTGGATCAGAACATGGCACCGATCTTTTCCCCAGGTGACGTATTCGAGCGTTGCGATTGCGAATAATGTGGAGCCTTAACATCCGTGACTTTTATTCTCAAAACGGGTTGTTGCGGGAACTTAATATAAGTTATAAAATCATAAACAAAAGCACGCTTTCTCTAACTAAACATACGTCTTTTTTCTACGAATTCGGTTTTCTTACCTAGATTGAACTGCTACCTGGAAATATGATCCCAGTAGTTTAGTCGAGAAAACGAACAAAAGTTTCGGCACCTTAATTTTCTTTTCCTTTTTTATATTTTTTGATTATATCTGTGTCCGGGTCCCTTTTCTTTATCCATGCTATATGTTATTTGGCACTTCCCAATCTGCATAGTAATCTGTGAGGTAAAAGAATAAGTGGATCCGTCCTATTCCTTACACTGATTATTACGCTCTTATACCAATACTTTTAAGAACTATGTGTTTTGAATTCATTTTATTTAATTTCCAATAGTTTAAATCACTTACATGACTCACAAGAAATTCAAATTTTTCATTTATATTTATACTATATTTGATATTTTTATTTATATTTATATTATATTTGATATTTTTATTTATATTTGATATTTTTATTTATATTTATATTATTTTTCTATATACTTTTTTTAATTTTTTACTAGCTGTACCCTGCGTGCGTTGCAACGCTTTCAGCTTGAATTTAAATTTTGTATTTAAGTGTGTAAATGAGATTTGTGATTATGATTTGAAATGAGAATTTTATTTAATGGTGAAAAAACCAGTGATAGTCTCAACAATTAATTCTCTATGATATCGTTAGTGCATTCTCAAACAGACATGTATGGTGATGCACACCGACCATGAAACATATTTTGGATGATGATCTGAAAAAAGTCTGGATCAGTGGCGACATGAATATTTCTGCTGATATGAGCTGACCAATTTGTCATGGTGTGATTTTTTCAATAAGCCAAATCATGTGGCAATTCTCTTTTTCCGCCATTCAATAGAATACATCAAACACCGTGTCTCTCCAAAAACATGATTTTTCGCAATAAAACCAAGTATAGAGCTTAATATTTGTTTTAACTCACGTGCGGTAATGCACCATGAAGATCCGATGATGTTTGCTCAAGTTACTAAAGCTCTTTAATTTTAGCTCAAGCAGGATTGCATGGGAATGTAATAAATAACTCTGGCTGCCCATATGCCCACTGATACTTGTTGCACCGAATGAAGTCATTTGGAAACACGAATGTACTGATATATATTCCTCAAGAAAAGTTTCTATTGATTTGTTTGACCCGATAACAACGTTGATAATGGCTTGGCCGGCGACGTTAAATCTGGTAGCTACACTTTGCCTCCAGAACAGCAAATTCCAGCTGTTTCATTCTTAAATTTGAGAGCACTACAAAACATACATAATTGATCCATTTTTCCAATGATGACGCTTGGGTGTAATCTATAGTTGGTTGTCGGATCGTAGTGAAATGCACTGAGATTCAAATCAGAGTATTGGCAGCATCTGAGTAGCGAAGTGCGTTCTTGATTGGTTTTCATTCTTGCATCCCGTTGCTCTGATGTTTCCGACGAACGGGCTTGAGTAGTGCATTCTCGATCAGATTTCATTCTTGCTTCCCGTTGCTCTGATGTTTCCGATGAACGGGCTTGAGTAGTGAGTAGTTGATTTGTTAACTGTCTTCTTTCCCGTTACTCTAACCGGTTAGGGCATTGTGTTCTCGATTAGTTTCAAGTTTTTTTCCCGTTGCTCCGATGTTTCTGAAATACCGACAGTTCTTTTTCTGCATGCTTGAGATGTTGATCGACTAAGAACGATTCGTTTAGGCAGCATATTTTTGCAAGTATTCTCTTTCAAGCAAAAAGAAATGTAAAAGTTCACAGTGGTCGCAAATTTGCTAAATCGAAAATTCACATATTTATTTTAAATAATAAAAAAAGCAATAAAAATAAAATAAAATAAATAAGAAATATAATAATGATAAAATTTAAAACAGAAATCTATTTTTAAAATGAAGGAAATAAAATGAATGTGAATTCGCAAACTTTGTAATAATAAGCAATCTAATAGTTTTCAAATTACAACTGTCAGCAATAAAACCTTCAAAAACCATATTTAATTGAGCTAACCTAAAATTGCATACTAAATATAAATAATTATTAAAAGCGTGCAATTTGAATAAAATTTGCTTTTGCCTTTATTTTTATTAAACAGTTATCACAATACTAAATCCGTGATACGACCAATAATTACGAAATATATTCTCGTTGATAGTACTCCAAAAATAACAAACAGCGATATTTTATACAAGTATAGTTGAAAAAGCGAAAACATTAAAAGCATGGCAAACGGCACGCTTTATTTATGCTATGACATAAATTTTCTGAAATTTATTTAAACCTCACAACTTTTTAAAATATATTAATTACAGGAAACTCTTATGATTGGTAAAATTACGCTTAAATTTAAACACAAATCACAATNTTTCATTCTTGCATCCCGTTGCTCTGATGTTTCCGACGAACGGGCTTGAGTAGTGCGTTCTCGATCAGATTTCATTCTTGCTTCCCGTTGCTCTGATGTTTCCGACGAACGGGCTTGAGTAGTGCGTAGTTGATTTGTTAACAGTCTTCTTTCCCGTTACTCTGATGTCTCCAACGAACGGGCTTGAGTAGCGCGTAGTTGATTCGTTAACAGTGTTCTTTCTCGTTGCTCTGATGTTTCCAACGAACGGGTTTGAGTAGTACGTAGTTGATTCGTTAACAGTCTTCTTTCCCGTTGCTCTGATGTCTCCAACGAACGGGCTTGAGTAGTGCGTAGTTTATTTGTTAACAGTCTTCTTTCCTGTTGCTCAGACGTTTCTAAGGAGCCGGCTAGGGCATTGTGTTCTCGATTAGTTTCAAGTTTTTTTCCCGTTGCTCCGATGTTTCTGAAATACCGACAGTTCTTTTTCTGCATGCTTGAGATGTTGATCGACTAAGAACGATTCGTTTAGGCAGCATATTTTTGCAAGTATTCTCTTTCAAACAAAAAGAAATGTAAAAGTTCACAGTGGTCGCAAATTTGCTAAATCGAAAATTCGCATATTTATTTTAAATAATAAAAAAAGCAATAAAAATAAAATAAAATAAATAAGAAATATAATAATGATAAAATTTAAAACAGAAATCTATTTTTAAAATGAAGGAAATAAAATGAATGTGAATTCGCAAACTTTGTAATAGTAAACAATCTAATAGTTTTCAAATGACAACTGTCAGCAATAAAACCTTCAAAAACCATATTTAATTGAGCTAACCTAAAATTGCATACTAAATATAAATAATTATTAAAAGTGTGCAATTTGAATAAAATTTGCTTTTGCCTTTATTTTTGTTAAACAGTTATCACAATACTAAATCCGTGATACGACCAATAATTACGAAAGATATTCTCGTTGATAGTACTCCAAAAATAACAAACAGCGATATTTTATACAAATATAGTTGAAAAAGCGATAACATTAAAAGCATGGCAAACGGCACGCTTTATTTATGCTATGACATAAATTTTCTGAAATTTATTTAAACCTCACAACTTTTTAAAATATATTAACTACAGGAAACTCTTATGATTGGTAAAATTACGCTTAAATTTAAACACAAATCACAATAATAAAACTTTATAGAATATTAAGTCGACTCATATATCTCTTTTTAAGCGTAACATAGCGGAGCTATACAAGAAGTCTTCTATCTTTCTTCTGGTTTCAAAAAGCTTTTTATTGTTTACATTCAATCACACATTCATAAAGAAAATCTAATTTGTAACAAAGTAATATAAAAATATATCGCAACTCACTTGGTGGTTTTAACTTTAAATGCCAATTAATTTTATAAAGAATTATAAACCGTTGTAATCCTGTATCATTTGCAAACACGATTAGCTATAAAATACTAATCGATAATTAAATAAATGACATTATATTAACTTTTATTGAAATAAAAACCTTGTATATTTAAATCAGCATGAATAAATAAAATTAATATTTAAATAATAATACTATAAATATAATAAAATAATAATACTATAAATATAATAAAATAATAATAATAATAACTTACGAAAGTACTGTTAAGCAATAAATAAAAATTACTTTGCGTAGAAAAAAAAAACTTTTTTTTTCCAATTCATTTAATATTTATTTTGATTGATGATCTAGCCTTACACTGACTTGTTTATTCATTCTACTGAAGCTAAACAAACTAAAAGAATGTGAGCTATCAATCTTCAATCTTTAACAATTATTAAAAAAATTATGCAATTTCAAAACTATATCTTATTACTGTGTGTTATTATTATACAAATTGCAATAAGGATAATCAATCTTATTGTGTCTTTAATTTTATTATTTTTTAATTGAAATAGTTGGTAATGTAAACAATACAAAGAAAAAAGATATAAGATAGAGAAGAGTTATAGAAGATACATTATTGTAAGAAAAGGAAAAAATAAAGACAAATCAAAATTAGCGTCATAAGCGCTTTGAGAACAATTCTTTTTTGCACCACGTGATTTTACTTTGAAATAAAGTTGAAGTTAATTTTACTTTATACTTCTTGTTAGGCCTATTAAAAATATGAAAGCTACAAGCAAATAATTCTTTTAGGAGATACACTTGTCGCTTAAATCATTTATCAATCAATCAATTGTTGTAAACAATAAATTCATTTTTTTGTTCTTCTTCCCTTTTTATCTCGATTAATATGTATATTTTCTTCATATTTTAAGCATTGACAGCTATAAACATTTGTAATTTAGAGTAAAATTTGTATTCTTCAGAATGAATTCAGTTTTCCATTTACATAATACCTCTAGAATTGGGTTTTCCAAAACATTTCAATTCGTCCGAAATTTTACTGTAAGCTCAGCTTTATATGGCAAAAGAAATTTCAGAAAATTCACTTATCCCAATCGGGGAACACCTTTAGATAAGAAATATTTTAGAGAGCATCCCGAACTGGTTGATCGTAAGCACTTTACTAATATATTTACCTATTCATCGTAACAATTTTTTTTTCAACTGCAACTTTTAACAATAAATTAAAAATTATAAAAGTAAAAAAAAGGAAACATAAGTTTTCTCTTTTTGTACAGTTTTTAAACTTGTTTTTGTTTAAATAAACATTGCTATATATTTCCCCCTAAGAAATTGTAGCTAACAATTTGAAAGCCTGAATTCTGTGATAAAAATATCAATATAACTAAATGTTGAGGTTAATTGTATTTTTTCTAGTTTTGCTTTTAGAACTAATCTTTACATTGTATTATGATTTTACATTGTGAGACATAAGCTTCAAAGAATTTTGCTTCAAGCATTTCGCTTCATTTTGTTTTACTGCATGTTAATTTTAAATAAAATCTATTGCATCCATTAGTTCAATCAATAGTAGATGCAAAATATTAAATATAGGGATCTATCATCTAAAGATCTCCAAACAAATTAGAGCTTTCCACAAGTCTGAAAATAATTTTGAATTATTTCTAATTGGAAATTTGTCATGGTGAGCTCTTTCTTGTTCGATTTAAACACTATAACATGCTAAAATCTAGAAGATTTCCATACCTGAACTATGATAATAGTCAAGTTATCCTTACCTCCTTGTTACGACCTTCAAAAAAGTTAAAGCATTACAGAAAATGATCATCTTGAAGAGTATATATCATAGCCAACTCCAAACTCCGCCATGCAATTGAAAATCAACGTAAACGACAAAAAATTCAAATTCATGATTTTCATATATTTGGCATCTATGTGTGATAAGCTACATATTGCAAAAAATGTTTTTCAAAGAATAAATTTTGTTCTATCAGTTTTTTGAAATTTTATTTTAGGTTCATAGCATTGGCAATAGAAGAAAACAGTTGTCAAGCCACTTTTCTCGAAATCTATCTGGAAGCATTTACATTGTTTTCTCAATTGTAAAGCAGAGCTAACCTCTACAAAGTTTTTAAACAATTTTTGCATGTTTGGCACAAACATGTAAGAATATGAAAATTTCTCTCTAAAAGCTTTTACTAGAAAGAAAGAGTGCATATCAAAATTATTACTCTGTTCTATACTTTAAAAATATTACTGTGTTGATAAACTAACCTAAATAATTACTAACTTCACTTTCAAATTACTTATACTACTTAATTTTTGTAGCATTAAAATTGCAATTTAAGTGCAACAAGTTTTTTGGAAAATAAATCATTGATTGGTTTTTAAAATATTATTTGCATGAAGACTGACATTCAAACTTTTTCTATATAAATTATTTCTCTCTGCAGACTTTTCCAGGTTTTCTTTTTTAATTGATAATAATAAAATCATTTTGTTTAGTTATATATGCCTTAACCAGCTAAAAAAAATTTATGTTTTAGGAAATAAGAATAGTTTTTATGAGTTTTTTTAGAAAACAAGAAATGTTAAACTTCTGAAAGCTTAGAAAATTAATGGGGTAACATGTGCTGTCAGGGCATGAAAGATTATATTGTGATAGATTTCCTTTTTTTTTAAATAATTTGCAAGAAAGTCAATGAGATGGAACAGGTTAAAAATTGAGAATTGCTAATGATAATTAAGTCTATAACTTGAGCTTTGATCGCATTATTTATTTATTTGTTTATTTTATCTTTTATGATATTGAAAGTTTCAAGTTCAAGTTTCAAGTTAAAAAATTAAGTTAAAATTTATTCAAAAAATTAAATAAGTAAAAAATATATTCAAAAAACACTTAAATATAGAAGAAAATCAGATAAATTAAGTTTATTTCTGTTCAATTTAATTTGTATTTCATATTTATTAAGAGCAAACTAATGATACTATAAGTTATCAATATATTTTCTATTTCTGATATGATTATGTAGACCACATTTTGTGGAAAATTGGATATTATAATTATAGTATAAATATCTGCATTTATTCATCATTAATATCATTATAAATATCTGCATAATTTTTTCATTTACTTAACTTAGAACATGTCCCATTTTAACGATAAGATTTTTAATTATGAGTATTTTTGTAAATATTACTCATTATACTCTCCGATCACTACCCATATGATTATTATTAGCTTCATTTTTACTTTGATTTAAATCAACTATTTTTGTTTTTAAAAACTTTTTAATCTCTTGATTTTTTTTTAAAAAATTCCAAGTGATTAAAACTATAATTTAGTACCATATATTCCTTTCAGAAAATTAAATACATGAAAATAATCTGTGTATATTATTTTTAACTCAGTTATTACAACTCATGTAAAACTCAATTATTTTTAGAACAAAACTTTATTTTATAGAAAGAAAAAAGGATAGCATATTATATTAAAAGCATTTTTATTATCAAGTAACAATTTTTCAACAGATCTAAAATATTTCAGTTTTCAAACAATTATTTTTTACATCTATTTATTTTTGGCTGAGTAATTTATTTTTTATTTATTTACATTTATTTTCATTAGATAATAACTGTGTCCTGAATTTACTATGACATTTTATTTTGTTAAAACATTTTTAGTTACAGATAGTCTTGTAAAGTTTTCCACATTTTATATTTATTATTACAAAAGTAGTTCTAATAATACAGTGCAATAAAACTCCAATGTATAGTTTTGTATAGTATTTCATTTCAAGTCATGTAAAATTGACAATTTATATAACATATTGCAACAAGCATATCGTTTTTATAGTCATTAAATTAATATATTTTAAGAAAATCTTATATTTGACTTTTTTCAACCATTTGCTTTTCATTTATTTTGTAAGTTATCTGCATAAACCAGGACAAGTCCAAACTAATTAGAATTTTACATTTGATTTAAAATTGTAATATGGGCAAAATCACAGTAACTGGTCCCAATACGCTTCAAAAAAACATTTCCTGAAGCAAATAAAACTATCTATTTTTAAAAACTACATGTTTTGAAATTTCAGAAAAATGTTAATTTAAATAACTGTTTAATTTTTTTTTACAAGTTATTTAGAGGTTATATTAGGTGCATTTCAGTGGAAAATGTGTTGCAGATCAATCCTGAATTCTTACAGCCTGAATAATGTTTTTAAGCTTTGAATTAATAATAATAACTGATTTAAGGCATTTAGGAAATTTCCATTGTCCCCTTCAAAATGTTTTTAGATGAAATTTTAAATTTCTTATCTTATGAATAAAGTGTAAGAATGATTTGAATTTAAATATATCAAATATTATTCTAAAGTAATTATTAAATATCAAAATTAAACTAAATTCTATAACATGTAAGTAAATATAAGATGAAGAAAATTGTTTAGGAGGGGACATTTTTGTTGCCGAGGTAATATCAGATGCAGTAATATCAGATGATATACAATATGATAAAGGCTTTATCATGGGTGCAAGTTGGAAAAAAGGCCAAGACTGAAAATTGTTTGACTGAAATACCTAACATACACAATACCCCCTCGACATATGCAAACTATCTAAGAAAGCTTTACCATAATACATCAAGTTTAAATACTGTACAAAAAATATTTATTCATCTGTCTTTTGATAAAATAACGACCGGACATAAGAAAGTAGGCCAATAAAGTAGACCTAAAAAATATTTTTAAGGACAGGAAAAAAAATCCGATTTCCGTCTTCGAGTCAGTCTTGTTTCCGTCTTACTTCCGTCCGCGGACATTTTTGAAAGACAGAAATCCATCCTGGGGATGGAAGACTTGCACCCATAGGCTTTATTTTCAATGCAAATAAAGTAATATTCAAGAAAACTTCCTTTTTATATAAATAATGCTCACTACTGGAGTGACAGTGCAAGAATCCATTTTAAAAATAGATACAATTTAGGGAATTTAGTTTACCATAAAGATGACTTTGGGTTTGAAGCTGATTGGTCATTTCACAAAACAGCATGTGGTGAAGTAGCAGTTGATGGCATTGGAGCATCAGTTAAATGTGGAGCATGGATAAAAGTGTTAGAAAACAAGGCTATTATTAACACTGCAAAGGAATTTTTTGATCTCTCAAAAAGTTTCAGTGATAAGATAACTACCTTGTATATTTCTTTAGAAAATATTGAAAAAACAAGAAAAAGTCGCAAGGAGAAAATAATAAAATCAATTATAGGAACACAAAAGTTACATTATATTAAACCACATTTACTATTTCAACTAAAAACTGCTCAAAATTCCCAATTAATTGTTGACGTAAACAAAACCAAAAAAAAACTATAAATATGTAAATTGGTAATATTTAATGTTATAATTTTTTGTATAGATTAATTATATAATTTATGTTACAGAGAGAGGAATGAGGCTAACAGGATATTGGACAGGTGAAGGTGTAAAAAAGAAATTTGTTGAAGTACCTGAAATGATACCTGAACTTGTGGTTCCTGATTTAACCAACTTTCATGTAAGAAAATATTTTCCACCCATGTTTGTATGACTTTGTGTATATTATTATGTAATATATTATTCGCATAAATTTTATGATGTATTCTTACATAACTTTAAATTAATGGTTAGCTTAGTCAGGGCTCTAGGGCATGCTACGAATTATTGTGTTACTTAATACTTTTTAAAAGTCTATGGATTAACATCCAGGATACTTGTCTTCACCCTTACGAGGAGGCTATATTATGAGAGAAATTTTTCACCACATGCTCTGTTTCACTTTCATTGGTAATTTAAAATTTCAGAGTAAGCCATGAAGTCACAAATGCTGAATATTTTTTCAAAATATTTAAGTGCAAACAAATTATGACAGATTACTTCCCAGTTATTTAATCCTGCCATAATTTGTTTGCATTTTGATTATATGAAAAATAAATTTTCAGCACTTGAAAGTTCAGTTTACTCTTAATTTCCTAAACTCCCTTTTTTTATATACTATAAGCTACTAATGTAGGTGAAACTGAATTTGCAGTGAAGCGTTCCTCCCACAGTATAGCTAAGTCAGTTTAATTTAAATTATAGGACATGCCACAAAATACGAAGTCTATATCAGATTAATTTATTATAAATATATACAGATATTATAAGTTGCTTGCTTTATAGAATGAAATTCATCGACATTACTTACTTAGATTTTACATATATATTTTTAAATATATTAAATTTTTTTATTTAAAACTTTGTCTGGACGATTAATGTTGAAATTGATATTTTATAATTCTGAATTTGTCAAAACCATTGAAATTCCAATTTATCAATCTGAAATGCAGAACTCTTTTCAGAAAGACATTACTATTTTCTTGCTGTATTAATGTTATTATGTCTAACTGGAATTTAAATTTCTCTCAAGACATTGGAAAAAACTGGAGAAAAAAAACTGAAAATTAACTGTTTAAAAAAGTATTATAAGAATATAGAAATGTGAAGCAAAACTATTTTATGAAAATAATCTAGAACACTCCTTTTCCTTAGAAATAAAAAAAACACACAAATTATATTAATCTATGAAATGTGGGTAGTTATTTCTTTTTTTCCTTGCACCAAAACGAAATCATTTAATATTTATAAATAAAAAAATATATTCTTTATTTTACAAAAAAAAAAAAAAAAATTGGAAAGGAAATTTACATTTTGTTATAAAAAACTAATAAAATTCTTTTCAAACATAGTTGTAAATTAAAAATCATCTTCATGCTTTGATAGCTATACAATTTTCAAAAAATGTTTCTTTTTCGTTTAAATTATTGTCTAGCTGTTTTATTTTATTACAAAAGTCTTCAATGAATTTTATAGATAATATTTAAACAATGTAATCAACTAAATTAATTGTTTATATTTACAATTATTCTTGATTTCAGTTTATACAAAAAGGGAGAAAAATTTATTAAAGATTATCAATTCAAACTCATTACTATCAAAAACACTTTTATTTTAAATTTTTTTTGCTGAAGCTCAAAAGCATTCCCCATTTAACCAATTCAGAATTAAATAATATTTATGTCGATTCAAGTCTCTAACTTATAAATAGTTTTTATTGGTGTCAATTATCGTTTAATTAATAAATTGAAGTAACATAACCATCAGTATTACTGTTGAACACTGCATTAGCTAATTTTGATCCACCTGGCTCTGTTAAGATTTAAAAATTTTAACTTTTTTTAAAACATAGTACAATTATATTAAGGATGTATTATACAATAAATAATTAATAAAAAATCTTGCTTTTGAAATTTTTACCTCTTCTATTTCTTTCAAATCCTGTCCTTCTTTTCTTGCTTCCCTTTTTCTTACTCTTTCACAAACACTCGTTTAGAAATCAAATTTGAAAAAATAACAAATGTGTTAAAAATGTATGCAATATCATTTTTGTACAGTTGAAAAAGAAGCCTCCAATTAATAAAGACTGTACTTACAACAAATACATAAAGATGATTATTATGAATATTAATTTAATCTATGAAATTATTATAATTCCCAGTTTTAAGCTTAAAACTTTTATTTATGTTGTTCACAAGATTGTTAGTTCTATTATTTCTTTTCAGTTCTTTCTAGAATTTTATCTTTTTAATCTAACTTATCCATGAAAATACTCATCTGAATTCAAATATTATTAAAATAACTTTAACAAACAAAAATTATCTGAAAATTAAGTTACAAATTCAAGTTGTTGTTTTTTTTATTATTATTATTTTTTTAAAAATACAGTGTAAATAATTAGACACCCAACTTGGAAAGATGTTTTTAAATATCTGTTAAAATGCATTTCCTTACAGTCAATTATTAAGAACAACTTAAGTTGAAAATGTTTGCTCCTAATTTTTACAAGTAGGATAAAGTTTAAATAAAAATATTTTTCAGAAATGTATGATTTTTCCCCAAAAATTCTTAGTTTTGTTCTTGGTTACACCTTTAAAACAACTACAATTTTATTTATTCATTTGAAACTTCTATTTTACATCTTAAAAGTAGAGTTAATGTAAGTGTATTCTCTACCAAAAAAAATTATAGCATTAATAAATATAAAGGCTTGCAGTGTATCACCGAAATTACCTATTTTTAGAAAGTTACTTCTTGAGTGGGCAATTCTTTTCAAATTTACCACTAGACGGTTTAGAACTGTTCGTCGTGAACTTGGCTCTAACCAGCCAAAGGTAATGCAAAGGTTGTTTTCTTTTTTTTTCAGCTTTTGTTGAACAGAGTATATTATAAAATTAAACAATATTTTTTTTAAATGGTGCAGAACAATACAGTAAGTAAGTTTTCAATATTATTTAACTTTTTTTAAAATGACATAAATTTAATATTATTCATAAGAGACAAAAAATTTGCAAACAGAAATGTCTTTAAAGTTTATAACATATAATCAAAACTCGTACCGCAAAGAATTTACATTACATTACATTAGAAATTATTTTATTTTGTATTGAAATAAATATCTGTGTCATTTGTTTTGCTATTATTAAGTATATTTTTTTCTTTCTTACATAGTTGAAGCCATATGTGTCGTATCGAACAGCTGACATTGTTCAAGAAAAATTTACTCCAGAACATTTATTCTATGCTGTTTATTCCAAAAAAATTAAAAAAGATCTTGAAGAAGGTAAACTTGATGAGCATGGAAATCCTCTAGAACCATCAAAAGAAGAAAGCATGGGTCCTGAAGAAGCCTGGACAAAAGCTCGTTTAACTGGAAGTGATCTTTTCGGCTAACCCGTGTAAAGTGTTTAATAAATGTAGATTTTATGAAAAAATAAAATAAAAGCTTAATATTAGGAGGCTCCACTCCCTGTTCACTTCACACACCAACCCCCTTGGTTGCTTCTAATTCATCTTTCAAGATCAAGGAGGAAGAACAGTTTTATGTCCATCTTGAACAAAATCTCGATTGGATTGATTGCATTTTGAGTATTACTAAGTTTCAGCAAATCAATAACATGGAAAATCGGTCCCTCCCTCACTGAGTGTTAATTATACAGAGAGATTCATTTCATTCGAAACAGAAGCGAAAGTGTATGGTTACCTTTTTTTTAATATTATTTAATGCAAAATAGGTAAAATACTTTTATAAAACGTGTATACAAGGAGAACTTTACTTTTTTTAAAAAGTGAATAGGTAAAATTCAAGACATCCAGTAATTTTCCAGATAAACTGATATCCTGATAAATTTATATTAAACCAGAGCAGTGGAGTAGTTGAAATGTGTGACTTCAAAATTTTCACAATTGAATAAATGAATTAAATACATTTGAACAAAATATTGTTTTATAAAGAAAAAACATCATAAAAAAGAACTGGATATCAACATCTTAACGCCAGCACTCATATAGATAAAAATCTTATAATGAGATTGTTCGATGATTATGCATGAACTAGGAAAGTGTTACAAATAATATACATAGAACTCGCATATCTTTTTAATTTCCTCAGAAACTTAGTTTTGGAATTTATAAACAAAAATATAACTTAGTTAATTGATAATTAACTTTATTATAATAATTCGATAAATCAATCATAGGACCAAAAGTGTTCAAACGTGAAAATAAATAATTTGCCTAATATTCAGTTAAGTAAAGTTTTTGTTCACATAACTATAATAGTCTAGATAATTTTCATAAGATTAAAAACCTCTTTTTCTCCTTTTAAATTAAGGACCCAAACCCAACATCTTTTATCTAACTAGAACCAAGCAGACTTTTCTGACTGTAACAAATTTCCATGGCTCTTAAAAGCTTATAAAAACTGATAGTCATTCAAAAATAAAAGATTTAAAAATTAAACTATTAGGGAAAGTAAACCTTTCTATAGCAGCATTTTTGTCATAAAAAAAATTGGTAAAATGAGTTTAATGAGATTTGTTTTATGATTAAGCAGTCACACTGGAACAAAACTAGCACTGAAAATTATTTATTAGAACTTATTTGTTAACTTTTTTGTGGCTAAATAAATTTTAAAATTAATAAATAAAAAGTATCTTGTTATTTAATAAATGTATTAACTGGAAAATAAAAGATTGAAAGCAACAGTTTCAGTTGTTTAAAATCATCAGATTTTTGGAAAGTGGTGTGCTATCATGTAATTCCTGATGGTAATGTCTTAAAAAGTTTGGGACAAAAGACATGTAATAATGAGTATATAATAGAAAAACGCTTTTTTTTTAAATCAATTTAATTGTTAATAAATGAAAAATGTTATTAAATATAAAATTGAAAATTTTAGAATCAGAAACAAAGTTAAAAAAACAATAAGAGAAATTCTTTTCTCTAAAATACAGGAGATATAGGACAATTGCTAGGCCTATTTTAATTATAGAAATAAGACTCAGTAATGAAATATTATTTCAGTATAATTGAAATTGATATTTATGCAGTCCTAGCAGGAAAGGCAAAAAAATTATAGGAGCTTATTTTTAAAAAATATATATATATATACAATATAGGACCTTTCAAGTGACTGGCCGTAAATCAAGTTACCCGAGTTTAACTTAAAAAAAAATTTTATACAATTCTATGTAATTATGTTAATGAGCTCTATTTAACTTATGAACAAAGAAAAACTTATAATTTAATATATTTTGAAAACACTAAATTGAATGAAAACGTTATATTTTTCTACATTTACACCAAAGAAAGCAGGCTTTTTACTGAAAAGAAGACATGGTAAATTCAATATTCTAAATTTTGAACACTAAGCTATTTGTACAAAAGTGACAAAAAAATCCTATTTGAATTATTTATTTTGAGACATATATTTTATTTATATACTATTTCGAATATTTTTTTATCAAATTAATATTTTCAAATATTTATTTTTTATCAAATTTTTTTTATAAAAATAAGTAACCCTGGAAATTGAAACTCAGTTAGTAATTAGAAAGTAGCCCAACCACACTCTTATGTTTGGAACACCAGGTTTTTTTCATAAGTAAAATAAGTTTGAAAATTATTACCTATCTTAAATCTAATATTTTATTCATATCAACTTATTTTGATAATTTTCTATCAACTAAATAAACAAATATTGAAAATAAATTATGTTTTTATGAAAATGAGCAACACTTGGACGAAGTAAGAAATTAACAGTGATAAGGTTTGTCAATTATTTTAAGCTGAAAATTTTTTATTTGAGCTATTATCTTAGACAACTATTTTTTTTAAATATCAAACAAACATAAGACACTTAATGAGATATTTTTCTTCAAAAATATAGGAAAAATAGGACAACTGCCAGGCCTGAATTTATAAAGATCATAAAAATAAAAAAAAAGCAATAGTCTGAAGCATTTATAACTGAAACAATTCATTTTATTAAAGTTTATTTCAATATTATAATACAAATACAATATTAATGAATATACTTCATCTTAATCAATGTTATAATCAATTTTGACAACATATTTTTAAATAATTTAAAATAACATAAATCTACATAAGATAGATCTGATCCAAAACACTGGAAAGCAAGTTAAAACAATTTAGTGAAACAAAACAGTATGACATGGCTTAATGGTATTTCAAAAAAGAAAACTACAAAAATAAATGATGGATTATGTTTAAGCTAAATTAATGTAGCTAACTAATTCATGACATTGAATAAGATAATCAGTTCTAATAAATATACAATTATTATAATTGTCCCCTTTCTCGTTGTAATCTACCAGCATATGTTCTTGATACTAGACCAAATGAATCCATATATCTATCCATACACATCGAGAGGCACTTCTAAAAAATTTAAAGAAAAAATTTTATAAAAGTAATTTTAAAAAAAGCCAAACATTTTTGCATGCACCATGAAGAAATTTATGTTTTTGAAAACAACTTAATTATTTATCTTTAGGGTTCACACAATAAATTTCGTACGTGAAAAGGACTCTAATGATTTATTTAGTGGTTAAAAAATATAATGAAGTAAAAAAATGTTCAAGCTATATGAGTAAAAGCATTTTAAAATGCATACCATTGAGTGTACATATTTATGCAAAGAACAGTACAACATTTCACTTCTAAAATATTTTAAACTCCTAAAAGTTTTAAAAATATTCTAATATGGTTATGAAAATCTTTTTTTCTTTCTTTTTTAATTTATATTACAACAACACATGAATCTTGAATAGCGTATTTGAGCAATCACTTCGAACCAAGATCCATTACAATAATTTTATAGTAAATTTATATGGTTTTGTCAATACTCTTTTGGCAGTTATTGCTAAGGACATGGTTTTAAAAATTGCATTTTGTAATAACATTATATTAAATATATTAGAATGTGAAAAACTACGAAAAGAAAAGCTAAAAATGATAAATTACTGTTGAAAAAATTCAAAAATCAGAATTTTTTTGTAGTATAATTATAATTTGGGTGAAAACAGGTAAACTTGCATAAAAACTACAATTAATCCGCAGTAGTTGAGTCTCTGGAGATATATCGAGGTAATAATTTTCAAGTGACACATTTGTCACCCATGCATAGTATTTTGAGAAACATTTGTTAAATACTTGGCAAGAATTGTTGTCATGTCTTTATACTGGTATGAACATTAATTATCTTCTTGATTAATGATCAGAATTGTTAAAGAAATCAAAAAAATTTTAATTTTATATTATTATTTGTACTAATCAGCTGATTTAATGTTTTTATTAAATATAGTTCCATATCTGATTTTAAAAATCAAAATGTATCATCTTTCCCCACAAAAAAAATTTTTTCAATGTCTCCATAACTTTTTGCACAGAGCTTCATTTATATTGTTCTAATGAGCACATTTAAAAACTGTGTTGAAAAGANCACAGAGCAGCAGAATGAGAAATTGTATTTCATTCATTTACTACATCTTCTGCATCAGTTACTATCATCACTATTTGATTTAACAACATAACGATGTCTTCATCAGTCAAATACTGGAAGCCAGGCTCACATGCATCACTTTGAAACCAATCTTCTAAATTTTCTTCATCAAAAATTTCGAAACCTTAGATTTCTTTTGCTTGTTCGAGAATACTGTTATCATATTTTTCTTGAACATCTGAAGAGGATTGTTCATCAAGCAGTATGATCTTTCTCCAAGATCGTTATAACGCAGACAATTTTACCTGATATTCCATAGACTGCAATCCAATAACGAATATTGCTTCCAAAAATTTGGTAGTGTTATAACTTCATGAATCAAATTTTTTTAATCTTGAAAATGTTTCTCTTTATATTTTTTGTGTGACTCCGGAACGAGCAAGGATAATCCGCAAACCGGATAATCCACGCACGGATAATCGAGAGTGTACTGTATTTATGCAAAGAACAGTACAACATTTCATTTCTAAAATATTTTAATCTCCTAAAAGTTTTAAAAATATTCTAATATGGTTATGAAAATCTTTTTTTTTTTTTTAATTTATATTATAACACGCGAATCTTGAATTGTGCATTTGAGCAATCACTTCAAACCAAGATTGATTACAATAATTTTATAGTAAATTTATATGGTATTGTTATTACTTCTTTAGCAGTTATTGCTAAGGACATGGTTTTAAAAATTGCATTTTGTAATAACATCATATTAAATATATTAGAATGTGAAAAACTACAAAAAGCTGAAAATGATAAATTACTGTTGAAAAAATTCAAAAATCAGAATTTTTTGTAGAACCAATTATAATTTGCAGAAAACAGGTAAAATTGCATAAAAACTACAATTAATCTGCAGTAGTTGGAGGCACTGGAGATATATCAGGGTAATAATTTTCAAGTGACACATTTGTCACCCATGCATAGTATTTTAAGAAACATTTGTTAAATACTTGGCAAGAATTGTTGCCATGTCTTTATACTGGCAAGAACCCTCATTATCTTCTTGATTAATGGTCAGAAATGTTAAAGAAATTCAAAAATGTTTAATTTTATATTATAATTCGTACTAATCAGCTGATTTAATGTTTTTATTAAATATAGTTCCATATCTGATTTTAACAATCAAAATATATCATCCCCCCTCCCCAAAAAAAAAAATTTTAATGTCTCCATAAATTTTTGCTCAGAACTTCATTTATATTGCTTTAATGAGCACATTTAAAAACTTTGTTGAAAAGAAAAGAGGGATTAAAGAAAGAAAAAAAAATAACTTTAATCGGAGGAATTAACCATGACTATTATGACTGACATGACATAAATTATTAGTGACTATAAGAAACACCAGTAGACTGTTTCAGGTTAAAATGGAGTTGTTTTCATTACGAAATCTACACAGCTCTGTTCTACATTTATTACCATTATGAAATAGAATTGATTTAATTTTGGAATTTGTAGCTTGATTTTTAATGTTTTCCTTTTATCTAAACATATGGTAACTGATTTGTTAAATCAAAATAATAAAAATGAAAGAGAAAGTTCAAGAAGTTCTAGACTTCTTACATTCATTCATTTATTTTATAATATTAAACATTTTTTAAATTAATTAAATGCCATGTAACCAATAACCCCAGTAGCAAAATTTATGAAATGAATCTGCAGCATTACTTTCATAAATCCAAAATTGTCTATGATGTCAGCACAGTCAGATAGAGGTTATTACTATAAAAATTCAGCAGTATAACATATGTGCAGCAAAATTAGCAAATATAAGACCCTTAAAAATTATACATAAAAACTTTATATTGTTTAAATTTAAGCTGAATTTTACCCCATATATTTAAATCTGTAATTAAGTAACAGAAAAAAAATTCTTTGCTTTTTGTTGTTTGCACTATTCTCTCGATTCAGCTTTTCAATTTTTGTTAAAAACAAGTATAAAGATGTTCGTATTAGGAGTTTCAGAAATTTTCTCCTATTAGTCATACTTTTTAAAAATAAAAAAATAAAATTTAAATGAAAAATAATCTGCAGATACAGTGATAATTTGCAGTGCTTGCTGTTGTGGTAAAGGGTTTCTGCTACCAATAACTGCAAGAAAATTGGTTTAATTATCCGTTTTTAATTGACTGACGCCATGTTTTGATCAATGTTTACTTTATAGACTTATTGCTATTCAGATAAATAATTTTAATAAGGACTTTCCACTGTACTTTCAGATTCAATAAAACAGAATAGGTACTCTAGGGAAAAAATTGCCACAACCAAAAGTGTCAATGTTTGTTATGAGAATAAAATAATAAGATTATTTTAAAGTTAAAGAATAGAGGAAAGAATTGGTTTAAACTAATATTTTAACAACTTTTGATGGTGGCTCAATATGATATGATGGTTGATCTCACAAACAATAACTTCAGCTTAGTGGCTAAAACAGGACAATATAATAGTCGCCTTTAGATACTATATGAAAATGTTCATTCCCTTTTTAACTCTGATGTCTATTAAAATAAACAAATAACCCATATATATAAAATATATAAAAATACATATATATAAAAACACATATTAAAAACAAACTAGTCAAAACAAATTTAAAATAAATCAATTCTAAAAATAATTAGTGGTCTCATGATTTAAACTGCAAGAGAATAGTGGTCAATGAAACCAGATAGCAGTAATTGAATAAAAACAGGGGTTTTTTTTAAAAAAATGAAACAAAATCCCATTGTTTTATTAAATCAGAACTTTTCTTTAAAGATGCTACTTTAAAAACTGAAATTTATAATTAGTGAAATCTTATAAATGGATCTGAAATACTAAAAAGCAAACTGCACAATACATTTCAACAAAAAAAAGATACAAACTATTTTTAATTGCAAGAAGGAAAAGAGATGCAATTTCCAAACAATTAAATTTACAATAAAAAAAATCTTTTAAAAGCTTAAGATTTTTAGGCAAATGAAACAGTAATCAGTACAAAATAAATGAAAATTTGTCTTTTTATCTTTGTGTCTAAAATCTAAATTTCTTTAAATTATATTGAAGAACATTTAAAAAATATTTGAGCAAAAAATCCTTTGGTTGAGAAACTTTGTGTTAAAATTTAAATAGACATATTCATTCTTACTGACCCTAAGGACGAATGACCATTTTTTTAAACACTTCGATCATTGAGTCACTGGGCCAAATGCTGCGAAAATTTCTCTGCTACAAACTATTTTCCCATTGAATAACAAAGGAAAAATAACTTTAATGATCAGGGATCTGTCCAGGCCGAATTTACTACCGTTTAGCNGACCCCCAAGTTTACCGGAGTTTATTAATTCTGGGGCGATTTTCGACTTGGCAACCATTCCTCGTATTATAGTATAAGATACATATAAAAGCACATATTAAAAACATATACTAGTAAAATCAAATTTAAAATAAATCAATTCTAAAAATAGTGGCCTCATGATTCAAACTGCAAGAGAATAGTGGTCAATGGTACCAGATAGCAGTAATTAAATAAAAACAGGGTTTTTTTTTTAAAAAAAATGAAACAAAATCCTATTGTAATACAAAATACATGCCATGCAAATAAAGATTTTAAATTTATTGAAAATGAAAAAGAATGAATAGTATTATTAACAACTAAAAGAAAGAATAAAATGACAAAAACAGACTTTTGAAATGACAAAATAATTTTTTTATACCTTACCGTAAGTGTAGGTTGACGAACATATTTCTACATAGAGTACATTCTACATAGAGTTCTACATTCAACCAATTATAAAAAAGCAAGTTGAATTTATCCTTTACTTTTTTTAAATTTTTAATATAACATACTAGGTTACTTTAAGATTCAGAAATTATTTTCAATACAGTCAAAATGAAATATGGTTTTGAAGATTGTGTTCGAAATAGGTAAAATTTTATCACACAAAAAAGTTTTGGGTAAAACTAATAATAAGTAAGTTTCTTTCACCACCCAATTGTTGCAAAAAATCTTCACTCAATAACTATATTTGATAGATATATTCTTTTTTAATATACTGCATAAATTTTTCTTTGGCTCTCAGTTTGCAATTTGAAAAATACAAAAGAATTATATAGTTCTTTTTTGAAGTCATTTAAACAAGGCTGTAATTTATATTACACCAAGAGTACTAACATAGTTGTACTAATTAAAACACATCAATATATTTACAATGCACAGAAAAACAATAAAAGTCATAAAAGAATTTTGTCAAAATAATTATCGATGATTTCTTTAAAAAAAATCATGAATTTCAAATCATACCTTAAACTAAACTGATTTAAATCAATAAAACCTGCTGAAAATACCTTAACAAAAAGAGATACAAACTATCTTTAATTGCAAGAAGGAAAAGAGATGCAATTTCCAAATAATTAAATTTGCAATAAAAAAAATCTTTTAAAAGCTTAAGATTTTTAGGCAAATGAAATAGTAATAAGTACAAAATAAATGAAAATAATTTAGTTTATATTTGTCTTTTTATCTTTATGTCTGAAATCTAAATTTTTTTAAATTATATTGAAGAGCATTTAAAAATTATTTGAGCTTAAAAACTTTTGGTTGAGAAACTTTGTGTTAAAATTTAAATAGACATATTCATTTTTACTGACCCTAAGGACCAATGATCATTTTTTTAAACACTGCGATCATTGAGCCACTGGGCCAAATGCTACGAAAATTTCTCTGCTACAAACTACTTTCTCATTGAATAACAAAGGAAAAATCACTTTAATGATACAGGAAAGCCTAAGTGCAGAAAAGTTAGGATTAAAGTTCGAAGATTTAAGAATAAAACAACATACCTGTTCAGAACTGTCCAAACTAGTTCCTGGTTTGGTAATGCACTTTCTAAAACACTTATCAGTGACTTTCTGAAGAAAAAAAATTAAAGTTAATACATTTTTAAAAAAATAATTTATTTAAAAACTCATCAACAAAGAAATGGTGACAAAATACCAAGAGATAAATTGTTTAGATACTTTGAAATATAAATTCTATAACCTCAGAATTTGAAAATAAATAATTAAATTACAGCATAAAATACTTTCGAACACTGGATAAAAATATCTATTCATTTTTATGAAGCATGAGAAATATCTAATACGTCAAGTTTTGTGATAAAGGGACAGAAGAATGGAGTAGAAATTTTAAAAAATCACAGATTAAATTTAAGGTAAACAAGGTAAATTTGAATAATAAAACTCAAAGCAGCCCGATTGTGTAAACACAAAGTAGCAAGATTAGTGAAAGCCACTCGCCATGTGGCGACTAAATAAAGTAAAGTGGCCATTAAAGAATTTTTTTTATGAAATTGAAAAAAATTTTATCATTAAAAAATTTTTCCAATATGAATAACAAATTTTTCACACAAATTACTATCAATGAGTATTACAAAAAAACAGCGTTCGGGTTTCGGACGTCCTATACTGGGACAGGACATGTGGGTTTTACTGTCTTAAACTGTCCTAAACTGACTAAAACTGTCTTAAAGTGTCCAAAACCTTGGTAAAAGGTAAAAATTCTATAGTGTAACCATTGTAAACATAATAATTACATATATTAATAAATATTTTATACTTTTTAAACAATTTGCTTTTACTTATTAAAGGAAAATAATACAATAGAAAAAAATTTATAAATTTTGAAGCTCTACAATTTCAATGGACAGCAAAAGTGATTACCTTATCCTTTATATATGAATAAATAGTGAATACTAATCAGAAAATAATTCCAATTTAACAAAAGCAAAAAAANAAAAAAAAAAAAAAAAAAAAAAAAAAAAAAAAAAAAAAAAAAAATTAAATTAACTATAAAAACATTAAATCAAAATGGATGGCAGCACTTGAAGAATTTTTTGCTCATTGAATATTTTTGTTTCGTTGTTTAGGATTTTCAAAAGGCGTCAGCACTTGGTTTTAATTATTTTCTTACTGATTTGGCGATTTGTATTTTATTTTATTTCTACTTGGTTGATCTAACTGTAACTATTAATATATTTATATTTTGATTTAAAAGGAGGCGTTTTATTTTTGAATCTTATTTTGTGTATTTTTGGGTAGTGTTTCCTGATCATTATTTTTCAGTTCTTTTCAATTCTGGTAATGATATGGAAACTGGAGTGGCAGTGCACTTTAATTTCACACACTACAAAAATTGGAACCCTGCTACATCCATGCTGCCTATAGCAATAGCCGCAACGCTTAATAGAGAGGTCTTCGGCCTATTCTGGGCTGCATTGCCAGGACTAATGATAATATAAAATTTATTAATAATTCAAGATCATATGATAAACAGATAAAAAATGGTAATCATCAAAAGATCGGATATCTATGACAGGCAATTATGCAAAAATTATAAAAACCTGAAGTAGTTCTTGTGCTAATAAAACAGCTACTTGCTGTTTTACTTGGTCCATCAATTCTTCCTTCTGTGCACCTGTGAGTTTTCCTTCTCCTAAAGCTTCCATCTTAAAATGTTCAGTTGATACTGATAAAGCAATATATTTCACAAATTTATCTAATTGCAATTTATAGAAATGTTTAATTACTGTTTCATCATCCGGTAAATTAACAAATGAAAGGAAAAAATTTCAAAACATGACTTTGTTTTAACAGTTAACATGACAGTTAGAAAAAAAAGACAAGAAATAATATTTTATTATAATCGTATAAATAATATTTATTCAGTCTAATGTATTTTTTATTTAAATTTAGAGACTCAAATAATCGAAACAATTTAATAACCTTGCACATTAGAATATAGTAATAATATATATCTACACTTTAACTTTGACTTAAATTGAAAACAAAATAATAACAAAACCAATGCCTTGGTTGAATTTCGTCTGCTCGCGCATCACGCTAACACATTAATTATAGAATCATTTAAATATCATCTTTTCTTTATTAACTGAGAGTATTAAAAAAATCAGCAATGTTTGATTCATATTCTGATGCAGATGATAGTGAAAAGGATATTGATTATGAACCGTCAAGTGATGATTTAGAAGATGTAGAAGAACAAAACGAAGAATCAAACTGTGAAGCACCTGCTCAAGATAAATTCATCCCTGATAAAATTTACAAAGAAAAAGTGTGGAATAATTTTTTGGCTGATTCCCATTGTGATTCTTTCAATAATTTAAAATCATATGTTAAACTATCCGAAAGCGATTCTTCTAAACAAACTGACTATGACAAATACGAAATTGAAAGTGAAAACAACTATTCTAAACTACTTAAAAAAAATACCAACTCACAATCACATTCAAAAGATTCCTCTAAAGCTGTGATAGGTGTAAAAAGACATTCTATATTGGGTACAGTAATTGGTAAAATTAGTAAAAAAACAAAAACTTCAACACTTCAAAAGTCAATTGATGACTGGAACTCCTTTAAACGTGAAGAAGGTATAGAAGATTCTCTCCGCATATATAATAGAGGCAAAGGTGGTTACATTCAAAAACAGGCTTTTCTTCTGAAATCTGACTTAGCTTCTTTTAAAAAAGAAAGAGAATTAAGACTTTCAAAGAAGTAATTGTTTGTAATGCAATTGTAGAAATAGATAGAATCAGGTTTAATAAATACTTTTGTTGTGATAATAAATTATTTTGTGTTTTAAATTGTGAACAAAAAAAAGGGATATTTCCACCAACTACAATTGCCTAAGTGCAAAAGAGTTTTTTTTTTACTTCCAAAAAAAAAAGTTTGAAAATTACGTAGTGGCATACCTAGGGGTGGCTTTAAATTTTACCCGAATTTCTTTTTTAAAAAAATAAAAATTCTCACATCGTCTGCCTAGTTGGGGCCAAAACTTGCCAATTATTTTGGTACAAATATTGATACATCTTCGGAATAAAATGTATCAAATTGCATTTCTAGTCATAAATGTGCACAACCTTTTGAAGAAAAAAAGGTGCAGTAAGACATTTTAGCTATTTGGAGTTGCTCTGAGCTTAGTTTGGTACTAATCCAATTTGTTGGCTCAAATATATTTTGTTTATTTATTTTCATTATATCCAAATAAAAAGGAATTTACTATGTTTTTTATGGGTAAGTTATATGGGGGTAAGTACCCGCCATTTTTTATGAATAAATAGAAAACACTCCTGTATCCTTTATTTAACTGCCCATTTGTCATAAAAGTTAAAAGGAAGAGTAGGAAAAATATTTAACAATATTAAATCTTTGAACAAGCTAACTGATTGGTTCACATTTACTCCTTAGAATGATACAAGATTTTAGTAGATATTTTTTAGATAATGTGATAGATAATATCACATTACTCACTATATCAATCTATATAAACTCACTTTCTCAAATATTAAAACCCAGGTTGTATTTTGATTTTTTTCCTTTAAAAAAAATCCAATAAGCACTTTTTTATCTGATTTTTTTTTTCTTTTAAAAAAAAACATTATATGATGAAATTTCTTATTTAAAAAGCAAAGAACTCTATAACTTCAATATCTGAACACAAAATGATGTTAAAGTTAAAAGAAAAATTAATAGTGCAGTTAAAATAAATTTTGAAAAAAATAATAAACAGAAAACAGTTTATAAAGTTTTAGTGCTCAAGAACTGCCTTAATATTTATTTTCTCAATCATTATCACCAAAATATGGCTATAGATCTGCATTATCTGTGTAAACAAATGAGGATGAGGTTTCATTTTATTGTTCCATATTTGAACTTCAGGTGATGAATTTATTTTGATTTACTACTTCATTTTGGAAGAAGGTAATATTTTTGGATAAAGATAAAAGTATATAAAATGATTCACAGTGTTTTCATCGCAGAAAAAAAATAGGTGAGAATTTCTCACCCTTTCACAAAAACAGGGTGCGATTTCTAAAAATTAAAAAAAAAAACATAAGATACTTGAAAAAAAGTCACTTCTTTAATTATAATAAATTTTTAAAGCATTGGATATTTTTGCTGCATCATCATATGGAAATCATCAGCTAGTCTCATTAGGTTGCTCAAATGGGTATTTGTTTCGTTTTGATCATTTCTATCCACATTTTTTTCATTTGTCCGTTTCAGAGTAGAAGATATTGACTTTACAAGGGTATTTGTCCATCTTACATTAATGTGCAAAAAATTTGAACGTCTTACATGAAGAAACCTTACCTACGGTAAACACCTGGTTGCAGAGAAATAAGTTCTGAAAGAGGTTCAGAGGGATGGTGTTCTGTTGTTCTTAAAGGTTCTGAACAATACTGGTAATTAGGGAAACTAGGTAATGGGACAGATGTTGAAAATAATGAAAAATACAGGAAGAAAAGTGAAACGGAATTTATTCTGAATGGCTCAATGAGAAATTTTTTTCAAAATGCGAGATATTCGCGTATTTTGAAATTGGCTTATAGAATGCGCAAATTTTTTTTGTGGAAATCATTTTTTAATGCGAGATTCTCGCGCTGTAGTTTCTAAGTTCACAAATTTTTTTTTAAGTTCTAACTAACTCCCCGGCATTACAGTCCATGTTGGACCATGGCCTTGCAAGCAATTTTTCTCCTGTCTCTAGCTCTTTGTTTCCAATTTAGAATCTTAAGATCTTTCTCCACCTCGTCTAACAATCTCTCTGCCGGCCTTCCTCTTTTCCTTTAGCCCTGGCACTGCCCCTTGAATATCTTCTTAGGGCCTCTGTTTTCCTCCATTCTCTCAAGATGTCCTAGCCATTGAATTCTCTTTGCTTTACATAATTGATTATCTTAAGTTCACAAGTCTAAAAAAAAAAATTTATTTATTTTTTTTAATTATAAATCAACAACTAAGTTAAAAGTTGTTAATTAAGATGCTATTAATTTGACTAGGGAGCTTAAGTCACACTAAGACTCTCATGGTAAGGGCCTCATCCCTCACTTCTAATAGAGACGGCAGGGACAGAACCGCCATTGGAGCAGTGCTCAAGGGTATCTAAAATTCAAATATTGTTTAAATTAAATTTTTCTAAATTTCAATCGAAAAATTTTAATTTTTTTTCATAAGTTTTTAAATTTAAAAGGCTGAACGGAGTAAGCTTATTAATAAAATATCAATATGCTATTTTTAAGTACTTTCAAGCAAAAAAAAATATTTCATTACAAATTAAAAGTACAGTACAGGACCCGTTATCCGGAAACCAAAAAACCGGAACGAAATTCGATAAATTTTCCCGCCATTTTTTTTTTTTAAATATTTTTTCCTCTTAAGATTTTAGGACTTTTATTTCTTTTTTGAAAGATGTTTACCTTACCATTATTTTGGAAATAATCATTAGTGTATTACTTCATCGTTTTTTCTTCTTTTTAAGATTATTTTCAAATATTTTTTTTTTTTTTAGTTTGGTTTAACAATAAAAAAACTTTTTTTGTAGCGATTCAGAAAACCGGAAAAATCAGTTATCCGGAATAGCAATGGTTCCGATCGTTCCGGATAATCGGTTCCCTACTGTATCTCATTTTCAGGGATTAACTTGCCCTCACTATCTCAGGGCCTCTAAGAGTCTTGCTTTGCTAATGGCAGACAGCATTTGTCTAGGAATGTGGAGCGTGAGTGAATCCTTCTTTATTACAAAAACCTTTTATCTTTGCCTGGTAAAATAAATTTTCTGAGAAGTAAAATTAAGGGCCAAAATTTTCCTCTATGAGCTTCCTGATTGCTTGAATGCAGTGCTTCATTGCAGATCTTGGTTAAGATTCTGATCTACCAAAAATTCATTGTATCATGCAAATATATTTTGCTAGTCTAGAACTTATAATAAGCTTATAAACTATCCCACATACTGAGCTTTTTTATATAAAATTAACTTGATTTCTTTTGCATAAAAAAAATGCAATCAATATCATTTACTCAACTTCTTTTTTTTTTTTTTCTCATTTATGGTGCACTTGTATCAGCGGAAATTAGAATTCTAACCCATTTTCTCTCTATGCACTGGCTTCATTACCATGTCTACTTCTATAGGAAAGCTTAATTGAGTTTTAATTTTATTCCCTCTTGAATATTTTTACTATTTAACCAGCTGTAAATTAAGAATATACAGCTGGTCAAAATAAAATTAAGAGAAATATATAAAAAGAAGAGAAATGTATAAAATAATCAAAACTGCAACGAGCTGCATATTAAGAATAAATTTTTCGTTGAATACATAGAATGTCTTCCTTTTTGTTGGTGAGAATGTTTTATACTAATAACAATATTTCTAGCAGTTGGCTTCTACTTCTAATTTTTTAGCACTAATAATTTTAAAAGCTCGTCTGAAAATGTTCACCTTTTTCTTAAATGTTGCCCTGGATTTTACACACTTGGTCTTTTATTCGTCGTTCATTCTTTAAGTATATTGAGGTTGCCCACACAGTCACAATCTTAACAAAATGAACTCATTTCTGTCCTTAAGGAAATTAGATTTTCATCAAAACAGCATGACCGATTCTCTAGAACTTTAAAACGAAGAAACAGTTATAAATTTTAAAACTGTCTACATTAGTTTGCATGACTATAGAGTCACCTTATTAAAATAATTCAGTTTTTTTTATGATGATGATGTAAGACAGTCTGGTCATTTTATCCTCCATAAGACAGGAAAGAATAGAATATTTTTTATTAATACTTCGACTTCCTCAAAAAAATCTAAAGATTTAAAATTTATAAACTTTAAAATTAATTTCTAATTTAAAAAAATATTTAAGATCTTTTTTAACCTTATTAGTTTTTCTTATGCTTCTGTTACATGAAAAAGCCTGAAAAGCAAAAATAAAAAAATCACAAATAAACTTATTTAAATGCAAACTCATTCGAAATTTTAAAGTTAGATGCATTGCTTATCTTCAGACATAAGGGTATGTTCCGGCAAAACATACTCTCTTCTCGTGTATAAAGACTACTCCTCTCTCTTTCTAATCGTACTCTCCACAAAATAAAAAAAGAACTAAAACTTTTGCATAAAATATAATTCAAAAATTAATGCCTGCATCAATAAACACCTTCATATCAGAATATTCTTTAAACATGTCTCAAAAATGGTAAAATTTATTATTTTTTGTCCATAAAATTTTGAGTTATAGAGATGAGAGTGGGAAGAAATTTTACTGAAACAGCATTACCAAAAATGAATAAATAAATTAACAAAATATTTAAAAGGGAATAAATTTTGTAATTACAAAATTTCTGTTTCAAAGTGAGAACTAAGTATGATTATGATCAATCATGGAGGTTGGGGAGCAACACGTGTTGGTAATTTAAAAAAATCTGTATAATAACGAATAATACTAGGGTTTTTAACGCACAGTAAATTTTGTGTTTGATTTGAGATAAGTATTTTTGAACCATTTTTAAGAAAATTGTTGGGTGATCAATTTTCAAAATACCTACCAACAGAATTTAAATATTTTACATACTTCTATTTATTTAATTGCAATTTCTTGCACGATTTAAGTAGATATTTTCTAAAACAATGTGGAATGTTATTACGTTATACATAGCAATTTATTAATTTCCGTTTTCTTATGCAAATACCTATGTCGTATTTTAATTCTTTTTGTTCTTAATTAATTAATTTTTTAAAATTATAATTTTTCAATATTTGAGAAAATAACAAGCGCTCAGATTTATCAGACACTTGTGCAGTGTAGTATTAAAAATTATAAAGGACAATGTAATGTAAATTGAAAATAAATTTACAAAATAAAGTCTCACCCTTTTTTTATGAATTTTATAACCTTTATTAATTTTCGTCATGCAAAATTTGTAAATACATTAATTGCAAGTGGCTTTTAGAAAATTGGTCTTTTTAAGTATGAATTTGGTTTAAGATATAAATTTGTTCTTAAATGAAAACAAACAAAATACAGCTTTATTGAAATTTCATAGCTCATAAAATATTTGATCAGTTTTATTCAAATTTTGCATTTTATCATTTAAAGTTACATAGTTTAAAATGATGTATAAATTTAAATTTTTTCGATTATTAATAAATTTGAAAATAAGCAAAAAGTTATTAAATTTGCCATTAAATGAAAACTAGCAATGAAATCGCCATTTAATGAAAAAATGTCATGATCAAGATATTTCACACGGAGGTGCCCTCATCATTTTCTGTTCACCTCCCTTCTAAGGCATCCAGCACAGATTTGTCAAAAATTATTTAGAAGTTTAACTCACCAAAAGAGCCCCCAAATCAGCAATTGATGTAAAAGAGTGGTTTACTGTTTTGAGTTTTTTTTATTTTCTGTTTCATGTTTCAGTCTGTTATTACCATAAAATACCACATTTACAATAACAATTGTGAACATTATACAGTCTTTGTATAGTAAATTTTCATCCAAATTCACTTTCATAACCTTTTTTCCACAAAAAACCAAATGGACATTCTAAACAGACCAGTGACTAAATTTTCTCAATTTTTACCCCTGCCACTAACTATTCAACCAGTGATAGTCAAAATGTACCGCTATCGAAATGTTCTCCGCGAATTGACACAACTTCAGTTTTATTTTATTAATTTTTGTTTAATTTACAAAATTTAGGTTTATAGAAGCATAACTTAAAAATGTAAGTATCAACAAAAAGAAAATTTCGTATACCTTTCAAATACACCAACATACCTCAAAATTATCTGTGATGATTTTACTTGTACTAACTTAAACTCGGAAACCAAAGATAAATAATTCCTAAAGGGTGCTATCCTTCCAATTAATGATTAAGCTAACAAATCATTGTTATTACAATATACTTGCTTTTTACTCTGGAAAACCCTTTCTTTGGGCTATATCTTGAGAACCAATATTTGATAGAAGTTTTATGATTGACAGTGAGAATGTATTTTTGAATGCAAGTACAACCAATTTGGGGCAAATCATTGAGGGTTTTTGGGATCAATTGAGCAATCAATGGTAATGAAATCTAAACAACAAGAACATGATCTTTTCTCTGTTTTAAAGCTGATAAAGTAAGCGATAATATTCCCGATTTCATTATTCTGTATTGTATGTTTCATCATGAAGTGTTAAAACATGAAGCCTTCATTTTTGATATGACAATATAGTATGTAGGTTTAAAAATTTATCTTACATCCACTAAACTTATGATTATATAGAGTACAAGGAGAGCTACTAATTAAATATTTTTAAAAAAAATGTAAATAGAAACAATTACTGAAACCCTGCAGGGTTTAAGCTGAGTCTAAAAATTCATTAGCAAAAAAGCTAAAATCTGAAAAAAAGTTTTAGCAAAATGCTAAAATGCCATTAGGCTTATAAAATTACTTTATATCAAACAAGTACTGTAAGTTATCTGACAAAGAATAGCTTAATGTACAAGAATATCAAAAAGAATACCTATAACAAAAAAAAACACATTTATTATTTATCAAAACATTTTGGTTTATAATTGACAATCTTCCTTTCTTTCATGTTTGCCCATTTTACAAATGCTTCTTGAAAGTTAAATGCACTTTTAGGGCCCTAAATATTAATCATTAACAAATATATATATATCATATATTCTAGCCATTTTTGTTGATCGCTATGCTTCATCTCGTTTGATCACGTTTTTTTCGTGAACGCTAGCGTCATGGTTCTTCTTGCGAAAGATATTTAGATTTTTTCTCCTTCTTGTTTGATCAAGTTTTTTTCATGGATGTTAGCGTCATGGTTTTTCGCGGAAGCCTTTTTTTTTAATGGAATTTAGTAAAATCCTTTAGCAAAAATGCGAAAATGCTTTGTTGAATTTTAGCATTTTTGAGGGGTCTTTTCGCATTTTGCGAAAAAAGCTACCGTAGCGGAAACCCTGCAACCCTGATGATCTATCTTATTTGTAACTGCATTTAAATCAATCATTAAGAATGATTCTGTAATACGAGAGATAAGAACTTTAGAACTAGTGTGAGTACTATCCACAGGGTTCACACAGAGATCAGAAGAAGAAATCCAAGGAGTCCAAAATTTTGAGCACTTATCAAAAATTTCAAAACTTTGTGTAAATGATAACTAGACAGTTTTTTTTTTAAAAATTAAAAAGCAGTTATTATAAAGAACTTGCTAAAATGTATATTTTGCATAAGATTTTTTTTTCTAGCCCTTTTGAAATAAATTTTGACTTTGTCAAACTTCATCAAGAAAAATAAAGTTATCACTTTCACACATAAATACATTTTCCAATTTTAATAAATCTTGTTAAAGTACATAGTACAGATGTTAAAGATTAATGTAAAAACCCACCAATCTTATACTTTTAAATTTGAATACATAAGAAAATCTAAGGCATTTTATACAACAACAAAAAAAATCACAGTAAATCATTACATTTGCTTGTAACATGTAAAATTAGAATTATTTGCTGTTATTTTTTTCTCCTAACTATTGCAATTCAAATTTTTTTTCTTTTAAAGCTTTTTTTTATAGAAAAACTATTAGATTTTAACAGCTAAGTCATATCATTTCGTTTCACTGCTTGGACAGCAAATTCATCAGTGGACTTAGTAAGTTCATCTATGCAGCGCAATAATCTAAGCAGTTTCTAAGGACTAATTTGGAAATCTAAGTAGTTCCAAGTACTCCTTGGATACTTTTTTGTTTCTAATGAGTCTATGCAAATCTGTATCCATAATACTTTACCACCTTTTGTTATTTTTATCTTTAATATTTGGCTGAGTTTGTTTATTTTCATAAAAAAAATTTATGCTTGAAAAATTGGAATTAAACAAAACAAAAATGCATAAAAAAAGGAAAAATTTAAATTATTAATAAGATTTCAACTTAGGAAACATTGCTTGTTCAATTTACCCAATTTTTTTCATTTTAAAAAAAATGGAATGTTTACTTTGCATACTCTCTTTCCACACAAATTAGCGATCCTCAGCTGATTTGCACCAAATTTATTGTTTGTTTATTCAAAACTACATTGTCACTGTCAATCATAAAACTTTCTAACTAACTAAACTATCAAACACTTATTCTCAAGATATAATCAAAAGATAAAGTTTTCCAGAAGAATAAGCAAATAGATTATAATATCAGTACTTTAACTTGCAACTCCATTTAGTTGAAAATTGCTTCTATCTTCAGAGTGGGCAACGTTGGATCAGCTTTTTATCCCTTCAGTGGGTCAATAAAATAAGTACCAAGCATGCTTGGGGACAAAATGCTGAGAGTACCAAGTTTTACTGATCACTCAACCGGAACAACTGCCCCTGCACTCCAGAGCCAAAGGTCATAAAGAGTGGGATGTGCTCAGTAAATTTTGATACGCATAAGCTATTGAGCCAGTTAGTTTAGTTTATTCCAAATATCCATCTAATTGGAATATTTTTACAGATCCTTTACATTTTAAAATGAGCCGACTGTATAATGGAATTGCTTGTGAAATATTTAAGTATGCTTTACTTAGAGTAGTTAAATGTTGGTAAGTAAAAAAAAAAAAAAAAAAAAAAACTCAGCTAAACTCAGCGGCACGACAGCTCATAGACGGCCAAGGCCTACTGTGCCCATCTCAGTTTTCTGGGGTGCAGGAGCAGATGTTCCGGTCAGGTGGTCAGTCGAACGCGGAACCCCCAGTGTTTAGTTCCCAAGCATGCTTATAACTCATTTATTGACCCACAGAAGGGATGAAAGGCTGAATCAACCTTGCCCGGCCCGAGGATCGAACCCAGGACCTGTGGCACAGGAGCGCAAAGCGCTACCACTCAGCCACCGAAGTAAAAAAAATGACCATAAAATATTAGTTTAAAAAATATTTCATTTTTGAAAGAAATAGGAAAACTAAATTTAAAATGATTGCAACATATAAATTCAAGATTTATAAGAGTCATAACTGTTTAAGAAAATATGCAGTATTATTACAATTAATAATTCAAAGGTGATCAAAAGTTAATTAATTTTGCTTTTCTTAGCTTAAAATAATTTGTTTCAACTTCTACTAGAATTGTTCTGCTAAATTTCTACTCTACTTGAATCAATTTCAACTAGAATCCATTTTCTTTCTGTTTGAACAGAAAGAAAAAGAATCAACTTCCACTGTAGAGTAAACACATTGTTCTGACCAACCGAATATCTGTTACATCCCTACATGGTATCAAGGTATCAAAAAAAAAAAAATTCTATAAAATGCAACGCTAAAAAGAAAATTTTTTTGTTGAAATTTCACATATTGTAGATTTTACTTTGCATAACTTCTCTAAATATTAGAATTCCTAACTTTTTCAATGAAAACAGTAAGTCTTAACAATTTTTCAGTCAATATCATACTTCGTTTTATTGTATGTTTCATTTCAACTGTATAGATTTGATAAGTGTTCCACTTTTTTTTAATCTCTGTCATTAATAATTATTTTTAAGGAAATACAGAATATAACTTATTTATAGAAAATAGTTTTTTCAAGCATTAATTTTAATGCTTATTGCAGTTTTTAATTAAACTATTCAACTTTGTTGGCCTTTCTACAACTTACTTTAAAATTTAAACAACTGAGAAAAAAAATGACAAGAAAATACAAGATAAAAAATACATAAAGCAATAATTTAGCATGGAAATTTTTATTCAAGACAAAGGATTATGCTGGTAAAAAGTATATTTTCACAAAGCTGAATAACAGCAATAAAGTTCCATCATTAATTAATCACTACAACTACAGCATAATTTTTCAAATTTAACTTCAAAAAGTGTCAGCAAATAGAAAATCATCTGATTTCAAAGGAACAACAGCAGAAAAAATATATAAATAAATTGAATCTTAGCATTCAATGCACAGTTATTATTCAGATAGCAAAAGATTATAAGTTATATATAGATATATTCCATAAACCAGTAGGGAAAAGTAACTAAAAATGGATACACTACAAAATCACATTACAGAAAATAACATAAATGAACTATATAAAGTGTAATTTTCACTGACTAAAATACAATCACAAATAAACAGTTTCCTGCTATACATTTAATGCTTGGCCTCAGTGAAACGCAAAGTTAAGACACTGACAACTTACAGCTAAAATAACATTTTACTCATATGAAAGTCACTTAACTACTTTACCAAGAAAGTAATACCTTTATTCACAATCTGATGACAATTCTGCGACAGTTTTTAAGCATTCCATGTATAGTTAGTATAACATTCACACCATACATCATTTCATTTTACGTGGTAAAAGGCAGTCTTTAACATATGTTCAGTGACTACTTGACTTTGAATGTGAAATGAGCCACTGCAAGGTGATATCTATGTTATCCTTCTCTTTACAAGATATAGAATAACAACAAATTTCCCTATCTTGAATAGCAGAGAGATTCATTTGTTCAATGATCTCTTTCTCATCCAAGGCGTTTGGCAAGTCGCGCTTATTGCCGAGAACAAGAACAGGAATGCCAGCTAGTTGAGGTTTATCTAATAAATTGTGTAACTCATTACGAGAAGCTTCTATTTTTTCAAGATCCGCGGCATCAACCATATAGACTATAGCATTTACTCCTCGACAATATCGCTCCCACATACTGCGAAATCTCGGTTGTCCTCCTAAATCCCACAGTTTTATCGTAACGTTTCCCCTCGTCACCTTCTTCAGATTGAATCCTACGGTGGGTATCATATCTTCACAAAACTGTCCACTTGAGATAACATTCAAAAACGTTGTTTTACCGGAGTATTGAAGACCAACAAGAGTCAACTCCATTTCTTCCTTCCAAAACAAACTCTTGATCCAATCAAGAAACCTGTTAATAAGAGCTATCATTTTGAGGCAGTAGCAATACTTCAGTGGCGATTAGTATATTTATAAAAATGGAGGATCAATTGAATCGAAAATTTGACAGAAAATGACGTTTAATTAAATACGAAACACACAACTGTGAATCACTCCTCTGTTGATAACAAGCTAGTGTTATTTATTTTCGCCCTTTTCAAGTTCTGTAAAATTATAAAATAACTAATTTATGGTTGGCCAAGAGAATAAGATCTTAATATTTTTCCATTTCATACAAAATAAAAATTGGCAACGCAAAGCTTAAAAAGCGCCATCTATTGGTTAAAACTCAAAACATTGTAAAATAACAAACAAACTTCTTCTGTCTCACACTTTAAGCTGTTCTTTTGATAATAAAATTAATGATTCGTGCATTTGACTTTTTAATTTTTCCCCATGGATAAACTATTTGAAAATTTACTACCTAGAGAAAATGTGTTCTTATTTGATTTACATGTTGCCGCTAGCATTGGGTGTGAAGAAAGTGCTCGGGAAATAATTGAAAAGTATAGACTAATTTTTATTGAGTCTTTATTTTTATCTAAGAAACTTTAATTTATTTATTTATTAAAGTTAATATTTTTAACTTTTGTATTGTGCGTTATTTGAGACTACTTATATAGTTACTTTTATTTTTTTTTAAATGTCTAAATAATATTGTTTTGAGGAATATTTCAAAAAATACTTAGGTAATTTCTCCTGAGGACACCATACTTCTATATGTATATGAGTGATTCTTCAGAATGTGTGACATTCGAGAGGGGGAAAACATTTGTGAAGTTTTTTTTGAAATTATTATTATTTAAATTTCTAGTACCAGTTATTAAATATCAGTCATGTAACATTGAAATTTAGTGCTAATTGAAGCAAAAGAAAAATGTCACTACAGTCCTCACTGGTATTTTTTCAGTATTTGTTCTTTAAACTCTTTTAAAATAAATTTAGGCAATCCAAAAATATTTAGCGGATGAGATAACTGTTCAAAATGTTAGCAAAATGTTCTTTTCAGTTGACTATTTAAAAAGCATAACAAATATTTAGAACACAAGCCGGTGTATATTTCCTATCAGTACTTGTTCCTGCCGTCTACTGTGGCTAAGGTGTCAAAGAGTTTTTGTACTTTCAAAAATTAAGAAAAAAAGCTTGTAATGGTTTATCCAAGGGTAGCTATGAGTTATTTCCTTCAATAGTGCCCTTCTGTGATTTCTTTTTCCAGTTTCACCCATGCTGCTGCCTAGATAGGCAATATTCCTATATCCATACCTGTTCACACTTACACCAATCGCCAAGATGCTAAAAGGTTTTTATGTTTGCAGATATTTAAAAAAAAAAATGTGTAGTGGTTTGTCCCAGGATTGCTACAAGTTATACCCTTCGAGTTGACCTTCCACTGTGAAGTTTATGTATATATATATACAGTGGAGCATCGTTTATACGCTGCCGAAGGTACCACCGAAAAACGTCGTATAAACGATAACGTCGTATAATCGATTTTTACTTCTAAAACTGAAACTAACTCTGTTTTCAGTTAATTTTAATGTTTAACGTGTTGATTTACATAAATTTCTAAATTAGACAAAGCAAAACAAACAAATAACCAAAGAAGAAAAATTGCAGTGAGCAATTTGAATGTATGTTACCTTTAATTATATTTTCTTGCTATTAGTCTCTACAATGCTTTGAATAGCGAGTTGAACTTACTGCTTTCTATGATGCAATTTTAGATTTCTAATCACGGCCAAATCTAATGGCTGAAGCGCACTTGTGCAATTTGCAGGAAAAAAGAGAGCTTTTACATTTTCCAAAATAATTAGTATCGATGGGTGCGCTGGACATTGGTCGATGAATAGCAAAATTTTTCGTTTTTGCCTCTTCATAACATTGTCTAGTTTTTTCAGTCATCTAGTAAAAATTACGGTCGTCATCCAAGCATTCTTGTTGGCACCCTTTTCTGTATCATTCATGTTGGCAAATTCCGCCCTTTTTTAAAATACACAAGAAAAAATAAAAAATTAAATAAACGTGAACAAAATCTAAAAACCGACGTATAACCGATTCTGTGCGTCGTATAAACGATATATTTTTACATTAAAATGAATAGGAATGATTTGGGACCACACTAAAACGTCGTATAAATGTAAACGTCGTATAAGTGATCGTCGTATAAACGATGCTCCACCGTATATATACAGAGTTAGTAGCGTTTTTAAAAAGTGCTTAAAGGTATTTATTTTCATTTTTTAAAAGCTCTTAAAGGTACTTTTTTCATAGGGTGTTTTTAAAAAGTGCTTAATTTTCCCTTTTTCAAAATGAGATTTTTCCTCTACTATGCTAATTTTTGCTTCGAATTATGCAAGAAGACACAGTTCACATTGTTCTATTCAACGTTTTCATGAATAATTCAACCCTAATCTATTTCAGCGTATAGTCTGTCTGTAGCATATGAAAATGCCATTTGTTTTACATGATTCAAAATTTCCTGATTTGTTTCAATTGTCAAAAATAATTTCAAAAAAAATTTTTTTGACATGACGATTAAAACAAGATAAAAGCGTCAATTGTCAAAAACTTTCCAACCATGTCTAATTATGATATTTTTTAAAGTTCTTAAAAATATTTGAGTGCTTAAAAGGTGCTTATGTTTTGTTGAATAATTTAGCTATGCACCCTGACATATATATATCGTATTGATTGATACCACAGGGATAAATTTGTAGCGGGGAAGGGGAAAAAAAACAGAAAAGCTAAAAATAGAAATCCTGAAATATTATGCGCAAAAACACTTTTTAAATAATTGAAAAGTACCTGACATTTTAGCATTCCAAAAGCATCTATCCACAGAATGTTTTCAAAGTTTTAATGAAAATATTGATGCGAGGTTTTATTTATTTAAATTGTGTGAATATGAATTGCAATGTGGAACTTTTAAATCATGACAATACCATATGGTATTTTTTATTTACGTCGCACTAGAACTGCACAATGGGCAATTGGCGATAGTCTGGGAAGCATCCCTGAAGATGATCCAGAGACAACATACATGCGTCACATTCCATTTTACAGGGAGGACATATTCACACAACATCCATCCACAGATTGGAATATTGACCTGTACCAGAGCACAATCAATCTTCGATCCAGTAACCCCAGAGGTTGTTGTTATGGTTATTATACATTTATTATGGGGACTTGGACAACTTTATAACCATAAAAGATTTAGTGTGCACCAGTTACCATTTTGTACAGGATAAACTTCGGCTGGCAGGTAAAGAAATCACAGCCTCTCGGGCATGGGCCCAGCTCCCTACCAGCCAGACTTTCCTGGCCCCATGTGAATGTGAATCCTAACATTTAATTTTAAATTTGCACAAAAACGAATCTCAATATTTTTTTTAATTCTGCAATATGAATCTCGATGTTTGATCTTGAATACGAATCTTGATTTTGGATCTCAAAATTGGGTGAATATGGATCTTGATGTTTCATGTTAAAATCACGTGATTGCTAATCCCCATATATAATTTTTAAGTCATTCAAACACAAATCATAATAGTGGCTTTTAAATCACGTTAATACGAAACTCGGTATTCTATATAAAATCATGAAAATATAATGTGCGATCTTAAATTGCGTAAATAGGAATCTGGATGTGGAGCTTCAAATCATGTGAATATAATTTTAAATCGCATTTGCATAATCAGGGAAACTTTTCTTAAGACTATTTTTTTCCTTGGAAATTCGAAAATTCCGCTATAGTGGCAAATTTTTCATGAACGGCATTCATTATACGAGATATTGAATACCTACCTGATTATAAGGTTAAGGACAGGGAAAAGATATGACATTTTAAGTATTGTAATTGAGTTGTTAGTTATATTTGTCATATAATAGATTTATGAATTTTAAAATGTGTAATTAGAAGGCTTAATATATTTTCAAAAAATGAAAGAATCATCATAAGAAAAATAAATTAAGGCAAGGTACTTAAATGTCACACATTAAGAAAAATGACATATATATTGTTAGAACAAAAAATTTTTAATTTTAGGTAAATTTGTTCCATTGCTTATTTTTTTATGCAAGACTTGAAAAGAATTTCAAATAATAAATTAGGGCAAAATAAATTTTTCTCCCATAAAAAGTAAAACTGTGGCTTTTTTTATTGCTTTGAATTTTGCTTCTCTTAAACATGTCTAACAATACTATCACTGTGACTTATTTTTGTAAATTCAATCAAATTTTGTTTTTCTTTAAAACTTTTGATTCAGATCTAATTGTTTATTTTAACTCACAGTGTAGAAAGTAAAGACATCATCAACAGGTATAATATAAGTGGTTGGACTCCTCTTATGTATGCAGCCTGCTCCACCAATTTAAAAGTTCTATCGTTTCTTCTTGAAGAAAGAGCTCAAACCGATTTACCAAACCACTTTGGCCAGACTGCTTTGATTCTTGCTTCCAAGTGTGGGAGCACTGACGCTGTTAGCTTACTTCTTGATGTAGGTATTAAAAGCATGAAACATTCCCACAATGAATAAAGCTAAACAACTTTTAAAAAAATAATAATAAACTTCTCATCAACAGAATAGGAAGAAACCATTTTTCCCTTTGTTCTAACTTGTTTGTAATTTTCTTCTGCTTCTCTGTGTTTTCCATTTTTATTTATTCTGTATTTCAACATGAAAAGCGGCTGTTTATTATAGAACCAAAACTATACTGTTAATGGAGCATCATTTGTGGTCATTTCAAGCTGTTTTGCTTTATTCATATATAGCACAAAATTGAAGGGGGAAAAAAAATAATTGGACATTTGTACAATGTTGTTATTAATTATGTTACCAAAATAAGCATATATTTTTTTAGTAAATATAAAGAATGAATTACATTCATGTTATAAAATATAGATCTTTAATAATGTTGTGTTTTAAATTAATTTCAAATCTGCTTTATTTCTGAATATATATTGCTTAAATTTTATGTTTTAAATTTAAATTGGAAAAATTATTTTCTTCATCTCCTTTTTATTTAAACTGTGTTAATTAAGAAATGCAATCTAGTGTTTGAATAATCTTTTTCTTTATTTCTTTTTATTTAAACTCCATGAGTTAAAAAATACATTCTAAGAAATGATATTTGTAAAATTTTACTTATGTTGTTTTTACTGTAAGCTCTCAAGTGTTTTACTTAAACTGTAAACTGATCAAATTACAAAGATATTTTAATGGTTCATTTTATCATTTAATATTTTGTTTTAATTTCAGTTTGGAGCTAATATAAATTTGTTCGATTCTAAAGCATGGTCTGCTGCTTTTTATGCTTCTGCTTATGGACATAGAAGTGTTTTGCAGTTACTAATAGAAAAAGGAGCCTTGATAGATGTGGTGTATGTTACGATTAGTTATTTTTCTTTTTTTAAAAAGAAAAAAAATCTATTTCAAAATGTTCAAAATTCAATTATTTTGTTAAAAGCATTAGAATGTTCTCTTTTTTTTGATATTTTGTTAAATGCTGGTACAGATTAATTAAATTTTGGATTACAAAATTATTAGCATAAAATGAAGTTGATCAAAATTATTGATAAGAAATAAATTATCCTTTATTATTTTGATTAACTTACTATTTTTACTTAAATTGATGCTTATTGTGCATTTGTAAAATCTAACTTAAGCGGAGAATCTATAATAAAAGTTGAAATGTACTTTTAGTCTGTTTAAGTCATTATGTATCCTTTTTTTTTATTTTATACTATAACATTAAGTGTATTAATGTATGTTACTTGGGCAGGTTACTCTATAATCTAAAGGCCTTTTTGAAAAATTAATGTACAATTACATCTTTTTTAATGTATATCAATGATAACATATGACTGTACCTATTATTCTGCCAATTATAAATGACATTGCTGCAATATCTCCATCAACTCTTATTTTAAAATATAAATCAGAATTATTAAGTATCATAATCAAGGAAGTTTTAAGCAGGAATATATATTGATAGAGCAAATGCAGGTATTGTTATTAAAAAGAACTGTTATTAAGTATTATCAGCAAATATTATGCATGAAGTAATACAGACAACTGTTGATAATAATTGGGTTGAAATATGGTGAGTGGTTTAATAGTTATTATATTCATGAGTGTATTTTATTCATTTTCATTGATAAAGTGATATTTAATGATATTAATTTGAACTTTAATATGTAACACAAGTGCATGCTTTTCTTTGCATTTGCATTACAATTTCAATTTTTATATTAAATTTTTTTTTCTTATCCACAATTATTGAGGTAAGCTTTTTGAACAAAAATAAACCTTCCTTAGGAAATTTAAAAGAATAATCTAACTCTGCTTTATATATTCTTATTTAAGTAATTAATTTCAATATCATTTACCGTATATTCTGGCTCATAATGCTCACCCGTAATTTCTATTAACTTTTTAAATTTTAAGATATACTCTTCGTATAACGCGCACGAAAATTTGGATTGTACATGTGCAATATCTCGTCTAGTATCAATAGAAAACCAGAAAGACTTTTAGTGTGGGACATGCTTAGGTCCCACCTTACAGATAATACAAAAAAAATTCTGAAAGAATGCAACACCCATATGGCAGTTATTCCGGGCGGATTGACACCATTAGTTCAGCCATTGGACGTCTGCTTAAACAAACCATTTAAAGCCAATTTTAGAAAACAGTGGAACACTTGGATGTTGGAGGGCGAGAAAACCTTTACGAAAGGAGGACATATGCGTCATGCAAGTTTGGAAACAGTGTGCGAATGGATATTAAAAGCATGGGATGAAATTAAGCCTGAGAGTGTTAGAAAATCATTCAAAAAATGCAGCATTTCAAATAATCTGGACGGATCAGAAGATGACTGTTTATTTATGGATGAGGGTAACACAGATGATGAAGACGAAACAGATTGTGATGACGTGCCTGAAGAAATAACAGAAGATGAATATAATGAACTATTTATGTAATAACGAAAATTAATAAAGTATATAGGTAAAGGTATGTTATTTCCTTAAAATAAAATTATTTTTCTATATTTAAATTTTTTTAATCTATAATTTTGTATACTCGGCGTATACCGCGCACCCGTACATTCCAATGTTATTTTTTTTATTAAAAGTGCGCGTTATACACCGTAATATACGGTAGGTTTTATAAAATATAGTCTATTTTTTATCCCTTGTCCTTTGTTACCATTTATCCATCATCTTGGCAATTTTTGCCAAAGATTGAAAGACAATTAAATGACATTTTCTAGAACTTCTGATTAAATATTTACATGCCCGTTTGAGTATATAAAGGTAGAAATAACATTATTTATTTTAATCCTTTGGTAGAATATTACTTTCCAATTAATTTTTATTTTTGTTTTCAGTGACAAGAAGGATGGATACAATCCTTTGATGTTATCTGCAGCTGCTGGACATGAGATGATAGTTAAAGATTTATTATTATTAGTTAGTATTAAAATGTTTGTAATCTGTTGTTTGAGTTCTAAATCTAAATGTTTAGTGACATTAAAATGCTTTACATGCTGAAATATTCTATGTACAGTGCCCGCCGCTTATTAAAATCACNTTTAGTGACATTAAAATGCTTTACATGCTGAAATATTCTATGTATATAAAAATTCATGTGTTGAGAGCTTCAAAAATTGACTATTAAATTTCTTTAAATTACTTTAATTAGTTTTCTTTTTTTTTTAAAGTAGATGCTATCTCTATATATACATTTCTGTTTATAAATTCTATTTCTGTTTATAATAATCTGTTTTTGCTGTTTATAAATGCTGCTGTAGAAATTAATTTTGTTTTTTTATAAATGCTGTTTGTGCTGAGTAATATATTAAATAATCTATGATGGCATAAATATCAAAGCTTTAGTAAAAAAAAAAATCAATGTATATGATATCAATGAGCATCATTTAATATTTCCCTTTACAATGATAAACATAAAGTTGTATTTAAGATAATAAATGATGTCTATAATAATTCATGACACAGGTGATACATTTTTAGGAGTCAACGAATCATTGGAAGTGTCAATCAATTAATTATTAAATCAGTTTGTTAAAAAAGTAAAAATTTAAGTCTATAATCTGTAATGCTGTAATTAAGATTATACTTTTTTTTTTGTAATTATTGCCATATTAAAAAAAGTTATGCAGTGAAAATAACTAAAGCAAAAAAATATTAATGACTCACTAACAATTGTTACCATACATATTTTAGATGTTATCATTGATTATTTGGTTTATGATAGAATATCTTTATGCGTAATTGTTATTGTATTTCTTTTTACATTTAACTTTTATACATTTTAATTTTTTAATATTTTGCAATTTTTCATTTTATCAGAAAGCCTATTTAAAAAAATACATTTAAAATTTGACATATTAAATGTCTGAAATAATGATTTTGTATTGCACATAAATTTAAGAGAGTCCTTGAAAAGTGAGTGTTTACATAATACTTAGTTCAGTATAATTCAGTTCTTAAACCAATCTCTTAATTTTTTATCTTTTCTATTTTTATAGTACTTTAACTATTTGAAATAAATTTTTATTTCTGTAAGAATGTGCATATAAACCTTTTTTTTTAATATTTAATTTTCGAAATTATCATGTGTGTGGCAATTTTAGTTAAGATATTAATTCATACACTAGTTTTCTTGATGAAAATTACTAATACTTCTGTGTAGATATCATTCATTTCATTTAAAATGCACTCCCGATTATCCGGGTTAATCACCGGGACAGGTCGCACGGACAATCGAAAACCACGGATAATCCGAAAACTCCTTTAATTAAAGAAAAAATCAATATCAGTACAAAAAATATTAAAATTACTGACATTTGCATGCTGTATAACATCAAACTAGGAATTTTACTTTTAAAAAAATGTGTAATGCGTCTCCGTTATATATCGATACGCATGTTTTACGAACCGCAGTAATGTCACCGTAATCAAATCCTCCCATCTAATAAAGTTTCCACAGAGCAGCAGAATGAGAAATTGTATTTCCTTCATTTACTGCATCAGTTACTATCATCACTATTTGATTTAACAACATAACGATGTCTTCATCTGTCAAATACTGGAAGTCAGGCTCACATGCATCACTTTGAAACCAATCTTCAAACTTTTCTTCGTCAAGAATTTCAAAACCTCAGATTTCTTTTGCTTGTTCGAGAATACTGTTATCATATTTTTCTTGAACATCTGAAGAAGATTGTTCATCAAGCGATATGATCTTTCTCCAAGATCGTGATAAAGTAGACGATTTTACCTTGACCATGCTGCTAATATTCCATATACTTCAATCCAATAACGAATATTGCTTCCAAACATTTGGTAATGTTACAACTTCGTGAATAAAATTTTTTTTAATCTTCAAAATGTTTCTCTTTATATTTTTTGTGTGACTCTGGAATGAGCACGGATAATCCACAAACCGGATAATCCGAGCACGGATAATCGAGAGTGTACTGTAATTCATTCCAAGAATTTTGACTCGAGTTAATACATAAGTATTGGAAGAACAGTTTCAGTTGTTATAGTTTAGTTTGGAACAAACTTTAAATTCATATAACTCCACTTTAAAAAATCTAGCAGTTAAAATTTTTGGTAAAATTACTTTATTACTTTTAGTTTGCATACACTTTCTTCAATTTTTAGCAACTTTAATAAATTTGAGATTAAAAACTAGGTTATAATGATGTAACACGATCTATTACATTATTTTAAAGCTGAGTTACATGTATTTAAAATATGACGTTCGTTAATGATGAAATTAACTTTCAGTACAAAATTGGTTTTGTAAAGTCATATTTCTGTTATTTGATGAAAAAAATAAACATAATTGTTTGTCTAAAAGTATTGAGTTTGCTTGGTTTACTATTTTGTAAGTACTTGACTTTTTTTTTAGTGAAGATAAATTAATTATGTCATATGCTTTTTTGTTACCTAATTTTAATGAACATTCTTTTTTATAAATAAAAATTTCTAATGAAATGTATATTGCAGGGCTTAGATCCTTTGTTTGAATCTAAATCTGGTGATACAGCAAGAAGTTTAGCTGTTAAATATGGTCATCACAATGTAAAAAATCTGATAGATACTTATTCTCAGCCCAAAAGAATCTGTAAGTAGAATTAGGCTTCAATATTTCTTTTTATTTAAAATGCTAATAAAATGTTCTGTCAATCTCAATGCTAATACAGTACAGAACCCGTTATCCGGAAAACCGGAACGAAATTCGATAAATTTTCCCGCCATTTTAAAAATAAATAAAAAATTTTCCTCATAAGATTTTAGGATTTTTCTTTCTTTTTTGAAAGATGTTTACCTTACCATCATTTTGGAAATAATCATTAGTGTATTATTTCATTGTTTTTTCTTCTTTTTAAGATTATTTCCAAATTTTTGTTTTTTTTAGTTGGGTTTAACAATAAAAAAAACGGCTTTTTGTAACGATTCAGAAAACCGGAAAAATCAGTTATCCGGAATGGCGATGGTCCCGATCGTTCCGGATAATCGGTTCCCTACTGTATATCTTTTGTGTTCATTTTTAGCTCAACGAAAATTTAATTGTTGTTTATAATTTTACAGCTGATACATCATTTAAATTCATAGATTTACATAGTATTAAATTATCAGGGAATAAATTTTTAAAAAATAGATAAACTATAAGATAATACAATATAATTTTTTTTTTCTTCTAAATCATTATTAGAAAATACTAAATTTGGAGCTTAAAAATTTCCTTTTTTCTAATTTGAAATTCTTTTTTTTCACTGCATTCTGCAGGGAAACAAACTTTTAAGATTTATTTACTTTGTGTGTAATCTTATATGCAGTCTTTACGAATTGCTCAGTAGAAAAGAGAACTTCAGCTCTCTTGTTTGTAATTTTTGACTTGAGTATAATTTAGTTTTTACCATTAATTCCAAGTTGATATGAAAGTCAAAAAATAAGTTTTATTGAAATAAATAAAAATATTAATATTAACTTGTGATATTTTTAGATTCTAACATAGCGCCAAAAGTCCATTCTTCTCAATCTGATCTTTTAACTTTGTTAAAAGAGCTTCAGTTGTCAAAGTATTATCCTATTTTTGAGAGTCAGGGCATAGATTTAAATACCTTTTGGATGTTGAGTGATGAAGATTTCAAGGAATTAGGAATCAAGTGAGTACCAATACCATCTTTAGTTGTTACACTCCCTTAATGTTCTAAAAGGTACGCATTCGCATAATTTCTTGTACAAACTGTGGAACATTATTGTTTTTAGAATTTTAAGTTATAAGTTTTATAAAACCAATTAAAAAATTCCATACATGTAAAGATATTATTTTTTAAACCAATATAGTAAATTAACTGGAGAATTTTCAAAATATGACAGTTCATTATTTATTTTTAAAATTACTCAAAATTTTATACATGTTCTTTTTATTTCCTTTCAACTAACATGCAGAAAACGTACATTAACACTATTTTTAATGGAACAATAATTTTTACATTTAAACTACCTAATTGATATTTTGTTGTTGACATTTTATTGTTATTAAATGTTTTGATTTGAAAATTCTTCAAAATTTACATAATTATTTTAATTTATTATATAAAAAATTTTTACAAAAAAATTCTCAATTTCTAAATCTCAATTCTTATTTTCAAAATGTTTCTTAAAGTCCTCCTATATCTAAACTACTTTTTAGTTGATATTTTATAACAAACATTTTGATTAAAAAAAATTAACTCTATGCGTTAGATTGTTTTTCATAAATTATTTTAAAAATACAATCGACCAACAGAAATTTTCAAATAAATGTTGACTTATAATTATTTTAAATCAAAGATTCAATGTGTATTATTTTGGTTTTCCAAATAAGCACTTTATCAATTTTTTTACAATATAGATATTTAAGCAGTAAGAAGAAGCTTAATTACAGTAATTACTATATGTTACATACATCTTTTATTTTAAAGTATTCATCAATTCTTTTCTGTAGTCTTCTGGGACCAAGAAAAAAAATGTGCCTGGCCATCTCGAAACATCACAGTGAATGTGCAAAATGGAGTTGTGAAGAAAAAGATTTAATCAGCAGACTGTCTTTAGAAAATAAGCATTTACTGCAACAAATAGGAAAGGTAACGATTCCGTGACGTGAGACATTTCTGTTTTGTTTGATAAGGTTTCCTGTTGGCATAAATGCGTAAAAATATTTAAAAATATAAATATAGAACAAATTAAGTGTTTTTTCACCATTGTGAGAATATTTTTAGTCATACTAGCCAACAAAATTTAAAGTTAGAAAATCTCTTGAAAACCTTTGAAAGAAAAAAACTGTCACTTTCCAATTTGTTTTTCAGTTATGTGCTATATTTTAATTACACTGAGTAAGAAAGATTAAGGTCAGAGAAATTTTTAAAAATATTAACATAGGAATCCACTATTAAGACTTTCATACTTCCTTCCAATTTTGCAGATTGGGCTAAAAACATGGCATATTATACTAGAGGTCAGACTTAAGAGGTACTTTATGATAACATAATATTGCAGCTATTAATAATGTCTCAGAATCCAATACTCATATCTGTTTAGTCCTTGGATTCAGTGATTGCTTATTTTCATGCTTTATAATACAGGAGTTGGACAAAATAATGAAAACACTTCTATACTAACACATTTATGATCTTTCTCAAAAAATGCTTAGAGAATCATTTTATAAATTTGGAAATATTTAGGTAATGCAATTTTTTATACTAATCATTGATGCTTTCAGAGGTTTTCAGGACTGACAACGAATTACAAAAATAATGTTTTTGAACTCCCTGTGCCAAACAATTTTGCAAGAATTGTACAAAATTTTGTAACCTGACTTAAATTTTTATAAAGATATTGACATTTTACTAAAAAAACTAATTTTTTTGTCTTTTTTTTTGCTATAACTTTAAAAATATTCTATAAAATTAAATTTTTGGTGCAATTTAAGATTAATTACAAAATTATTGCCTTAAAATTTTAGAAAATTTGTTTCAAACTGCTCATGATATGAGTAATTATGGTATTTTTTCATGCTGAGCATGCCGAAAAAAATTAAAACTTTTTTTTCTTAATTTTGTGACTAATCGTATTTGGCAACTAATAAATTAAAGTCCGATTAAAATAACTTTAAAATTTAAAAAGTTTCACAGTTTTTAAAAAAACTCAAAATGATAAGGAGTTTTCCACAAATTTTAAGTTGTACTTTTAAACAAGATTTACTAATAATGACACCAGATTGTTACGGATCATCTCCCATAAAAGTATCTTTTTTTTTCAGTTGTTTTCTTTCTTTATACAATCTCCTTTTTGGTGTATGAACATTTATTGTAAGGTATTATTCTTTGTTATTTACTTTTATCTTATATAAAATAATATTTGTAGAAAACCCCTTATAATTTTGAGTTTTCTTTTAAAAAGTACAAAAACTTTGAAACTTGCAGGAAACTTTTTAAATTTTTAAAACATGAACCTAGGACATTTTTCATTAGTTGCTAAATATAATTCACTGCAAAATATGAAGAAAAAAAAAATTTCAATTTTTTTCTGCTCATGCTCAGTATGAAAGAACTACTTTAATTACTTATATCTTTCACTGTTTTCATCGAATTTTTTTCAAATTTTAAAGCAATAATTTTATAATTAATTTTAAATTGCTCCAAAAGTGGAAATTTTAATGAGGAAAGTTTTTTTTAAATGTCCATACCTCTATAAATATTTAAGCCAGATTTACAAAATTTTGTGCAATTGCATATAATGCCTAAAATAAGTGTTACAAGTTTAAAAGCTGTAACATTTTTTAAAATTCCCAAATGCACGGAAAAGTAAATAATTCTGTAATAAATACAATTATATCAGTACTTGCAATATAATAAAATTGTTTTTTTTTTCTTTTCTTTCTTTCTAGAAAGGTTAATATTTGGCCTGTCACTGTGAGTCTATCTATATTTGATGATAAACAATTACTATATTATTTAAATTCTTTAATTTTTTCAAAAAAGTCTAAATTTTTGCTTTAATGAAAGTGTGGGAATTCTGATGCTAAGTAAAAAGCTTTGTTTATGAAAGGTCAGTTTGGAGAATACATTATTTATTTATTAAAAGTCTAATTTATGTTTTTTTTTTAACTTTAAATAGCAAGTGTTAGGTTACAAAATTGAATCACAACATTCAACTAGCATTTTTTATTGGCTTTTGTCTGCAAATCTAACTATAACCATTTTTCTAAGCAGCAGGTTACTTTTTAACAGATGTACTACCATAAAAGATCCAAAATATTAGCCTTTTCTAAGATGTCCTTACATAGAATTGATTTTTTAAGGTTGAAAAGTTTTTCTTCATATGGCATAAAAATTTTTCCTGAAAATGGATTTCTTTTTAGACTTACTTTACAAATTAAAGTTTTGATAATCATGATAATTTAAAATTGTTCTGTTGTATTATTTCATTATTCATAGTTGTGATTTAGTAAATACTTTATTTGGTTATTCTATAATTAAGTAATATTGATCACTCTGTTTTTTTTTTCTTTTAGGTTGAAGCAGAGCTTTCCCAGGAAATTGAATTAAAGAAAATTGCTGAAAGAAATTTAAGTGATGGTATTTTAACCTTGAAGAATTTTACTGATAATGTTCAGCGCACTGTGCGTTATACATTAGTACTAGGAGAAAAATTAAGGTAATTTGCATTATTTTATATATTTTTCTTATCAGTACTTTTATTAAATACTATTAAGTAAAAGAATCTAGCTTTAACTTGAAAGTCTTTTTAAAAAAATTTCTTTAAATAAATTTCTGGTTGATTATTTGGAAAAAAATTACATTCAAAAATATGTTACGCTTAATCTAACTGTGAACAGGTAATAAAAATTCAAATATGACATAAGTTTGATGACAATTTTCATATATGATGTGGAAATTGATTGTGTTAAAAATAGTTGAAGTAAAAAGCAACTATTTAAATTTCCTAAGATGTATGATAGAATTCATGATCTTAAACCTGAAAAAAGTTTTATTCTTATAGATTTTAAATTCTTGTTCCAGCCTGAAATATTATTTTTCATATGTTTTTCAAAATTGTATTAGGAATTTAATCAATTTATGTTCCAATATTTTCTTGTGTATTTGAAATTAATTGAAATAATTCATTAAAGATAGCTATCTTTTAAACTATAACATAATTTAAAAATGTAAAATAAATTTTACATTATTAAATTATATTTTAATAATGTAAAATAAATTGTCACTGAAAAAAAGTTTTTACGCTACATCATATTTTATTTACATGACATTAAAAATAGACAGTAAAAAATTTGCCTGTAGAATTACGTTGTAAAATAATATACTTTTTTTTATGACTATGCTAATTTTTTAATTAAGTATAAATGTTATACTCTTTATTTTATTCGTTATTTTTGTTACAAATCACTTTACAACCAGCTACAGTCTGCAAATTGTCCAAAATATGAATGCTCAGTTTTGGCCTGTTTCATTTAGAAAATATTAAATTAGTTTGACAAAATATTTAAGCCTTAACTTTTCCAAAATAACATTAAATTATTGTAAAAAAAATTTAATTGTGTTATGATTTCTTACGTTTCTAGTTGGAATTTAAATTATACCCATGTGAGAAACTCACACGCTGATGCAAATAAGTCCCTATTTAACTTAAATAATTTGCTCTACTTGTCAGTTTGCACAAAGCAAATTATTTGAAATAACTGTTAAAAATGTACTGACCCTAATGAGGGTTTATTTAACTTAGTTAAAAATCTAACTTAACATTGTTGAAAAAATATAAATGAAATAATCAATTATTCTAATGAAAATTACTTTATTTTTTCAGACAAGGACATTCTAATTTGAAGAAAATTATTTTTTGTGCTCATGATATCAATAAAGACAGTTTTAAAAGGGATATTCTTTTTCCTTTATTGGATGGAAATGAAAAATTGATTGAAGATATTCATCATCAGATTTTACTTTCATTGCAACAAACAGATTTTAGCCATTAACGAATTTCAGATGGAATTAAAACAAATCTCTTAGCTATTGACATGATGTGTTAGGTAAGAAAAATCAATCTATTGCTCTTTAATACTTCTGATAATGTGCTTTTGTTGAAGAGAAGTGATATCAGTTTTACGCAGGAATCTGACTATTGACAAATATTTTATATCATTGGAAATTTAACTGTATTTTTTACTTGATGAATATTTTAATCATGTACCTTTAAACCTATGTATCTTATGAAACGGTTTAGTATTGACAATTTTAAACTTATAAAATATCCATGTTTTATTTTATTTTTGGGTATTATAATAGTATTTTTTAAATATAGTCTAAATATTTTTAAAGGCATCTAAGTTTCATTGACTCGTACTTTATTAAAATAATCTGATTATAAAATAAGAATTTGCCTGTCTCACATTATTGTGCAATATGAATATATTTTTTGTGATAACTTGTCCCATACCAAAGATTATTTGAAAAGTAATTTAAAAAATGTTAAGTGTATGTATATTTAATATTGTTTTTTTAATACATGAACATTTATACTGGCATTTATGCTTCTTTCATATTGTGGAGAAGCAAATATTTTTAATAATAAAATGTGTACAAGATGTCATTTTTACAAATGAGTGTTATTTGTTAAGAAACAGCTAAGATTTTATAAAGTGCATTAAAATTTACAAATGTTATTATTTTAGCTAGTCTATTTTTTATTATTTGTTTTGTAAAAATATATATAGAATATGTTCTTAGAAAATTTGAAATCTGAGGACGCATTTAAATGTAAAGTACACTACAAATTAACCACGATTATTTTCTGATGGAAAAGATATTTTATTGATAAAAAATGTGATTACTTATTTAAAAGTGGTATCTTCTAGGGATGTAACGAATATTACACCACTATTCGGCTCTTATGTCGAATATTCAGTTGTCCAAATATTCGGAGGAAATGTACAGCAAAGTATTTTTTAGAAAAATGTTTTTTAACAAAGTGTGTGTTTTTTTTTGTTTTTTTTTGGAATTTGAATAAATTTGATAAAGAATAATCTAAAATCACGATTTTTACTATCTTTGAAAATAGTTTTTACTCATATTTGTTAAGTTCTATTACTTGCACACGTCTTAAAATTTTTACTCTGGAAGACAAATAGAAAAGCGAAATTTGAAGAATTAAAACTAGATTACTTTATACTGAATTATAACTTTGTACTGCTGATTTTTTTTTTCTGGCAATCAATTTTGTTGCTTTTTCAACACCTTTTTGTTTTAAGAATTTAGAACAATTTTTTCTTATCGTGCGGAATTTTTAACTAAGCATTGACCCTTTTATTGTCCTTTTTTCCTGTACGGTTAGACAGAGACAGATAACCGGTAACATTGAAAACTGATATCCAACGTTATTTTACGAACAAAAAAAAAAATTTTCTGTTTCTATTTTGCCTTTTTTTAATTAACTTTTCTTTTAATCAGCATTTTTTAAAGAGTGTTTCGAATGAACATTATTTTTTATCACTTTTTTCTAAAAATACAGCAATGTAAAGAAGTTGAATTTAGATTTTTTGCATTACATTTTTTGTTTTGATATCTATTTAATTTTTTTTTTACGAAAAACTTGTTTTATCAACATTTTTATTTATGACGTGGCAATTAAGAGGATTTCTAGTAGCTTATGTATACAATCATTTGATTTTATAGGCGTTTTTATGACAGCGTGCCATTTTTTTAAAAGCGTTTCCGATAGACTATATTTAAAAGTTTTACGGTTCCTTTTTTCTGGAAAATATTTCATGCATGAAAATCTTGTTGTAAGAGTTTTTTTTTTCAACTGAACAATTTCTGTTATTTATTTATTTTATAGTTTGTCAGTTTTTTATCTTAAATATTTCTAATTGATAACTATATTTTTTTCCTTTATCCAATACCAATAATATAGCAAAATTTTCAATAATAACTAAATTTATTTATTCCTATAAGATATTCGTAAATTCTTTTTTAAAATTTGCTATTCGGTTGCCGAATATTTGGCTATTCGGCCAAATACCTATTCATTACATCCCTAGTATTTTTCTATCCTCATCAAATATATGTGCATTGTAATTTAAAATTTTATTTGTGCATTTTACTGTTTATTCAGTGACAGCTATTTAAAAATGACAAATTTTATTACTGTAGAGTAAAATGTGCCAATTTTTTTAAATAAAGTGTTTAAACTACTTCCATGTGTAGATCATTAGAAATTCAGTAGTTAATGTATGTTTGTTTTTTTAATTATGAAAACACTGAATGAAAATATATTTGGAGAATATACCTAAATTATTATTTTATTAAAATCAAACATTATGAAACCGATTAAACCAAACACATTTTTTGTGTAATTATTTCAGGAACAACTTATTTCAGAAAAGTTTTCAATTTCTCGATAAACTCCATGTCTTCCGACACTGATAAACAGTTAATTATTTATTACGCATTACTATCACTTTCTGCATTTTACTAACATATGATCAGGAACATGCTCCAGACACATGTGAAACAGTAAGTATAGAATATAATCAATGGTTTGCATAGCAATTCATGACAAGGTATATGAGAGATTTCCCATTGTTTCACCTTATTCATCCATTTACAATTAAAAGGAATGTAATTTAACAACAATTGACTACTTTTCCTCCATTCCAGAGGTTAAGGAAAATTTCTCGTTAAACTTGAATTTTACTCTTGATAACAGAGTTTTATATAGGCTTAACATTAAACCAATCATTCAGGAAAAATCTAGTTAGATCAAGGATCATTTTAAAGAAATTGGACTGTATAAGAAAACATTTTTATTGCAATGTTGAAAAATACTCAACCTTTTTAATTTGCATAAAACTTTCCTTATATTAAAAAATAAAGAGAAAATCAAGTCTAAATCTATGTCCAAGGTTCATAGCCAAAGAAAGTAAAATATTTAAATGTGACGTAGCTTTAAATAATAAATGGGTCAGAAATTATAAAATAACCTTTATTTTATAGGAAATTTTATAAACAATCTAATCAATCAAAGGAAATTCTTGCACAAAAATACCACAAACCTACCATCTGAATTACAGTATTAAGATTGTACAATCGATTAAACTATATACAAAACATACAGAAATTGCATAGCTTGAAAAGTATTTATTATATATTTAAACAGTCCAAATAACAAAATAAATAAAATATCATTTAAATCAATATACTTCCACTAACACTCCAACACGTACGTTTCTTCTCAAATTTTTAATTCTTTTCTGATATTTTAATTTCCTTTTTAAGATTGATTGCATTGGATTTCCCGTCGAATTTCAACATCTTCATCTTGGCTGTCTGAGTCAGAGGAACTTATTTCAATCACAGGGTCATCTCTTCCAGATGCCTAAAATTAACAAAATTTATATAAAGTTATTAAATAACCAAAAATTCTATCTGATTTTGAAATTGTAGAGAAAAATTTAAAAAATATATTTTGTCTAAATAAAATTGACAGTCTAGAATGTATAATTCGAACTTGACCATTTTCAAGAATCCTCAAACCCCAATTGCCACAAGTCCTAAAAAGTCATAGCTGGTACCCAATATTCTAGCAAAATTAAATTTTGTTGACCTAAAAATCTAATTTTAACTTGAGTAGACACCTCACCTGGCCATTTTTTGCAAGAAACATCTTAATTAAGGTGGATGCTTTTTATCTTAATTTAAATGTCCTCATTATGACAAAAGAAATGTATTGCAATCAACACTTAAAAATTTATAACAATAACGAGAGCTACTATAATTATAAAAAAATAAAAGCTGAAGTTGCTAAATAGGAACAAAGCATAACAGAGAAACGTAAAAAATTGTGCCATCTGTTTTTATTAAATGCCGAAATTTTCGGCATTTTATATTATAATATTTCATTGAAAATATGTTACACTATGATAAAAACGTCAATTAAATACATACAAGGCTATATCAGAATTGTTGCTTATAGAAACAAAAGATTACACTAAAATATTTAATTCAAAAATTCCATATACTCGTGCTTTTCAGTTAATTGAATTTGGAAATGTAAGGTTTTTACTGAACTAACAAAAAAAGAAAGAAAATTAAACAATTACTCTTCGCCCACGTGAACGAGCAAGATGTTGCATCAAAAACCAGATTGTTTGGTCAATAAAAGCTTCAGGGCAATCTCTCCGTTCTTCCTCTCGTTCCTTCATGTTTGCAATCAGATGCTGCAAGATAAATAAGCATTTAAAAAATAATTTTTTTGAAGCTTACTTAAACATTACAACTGTAACTCTGGAAGTCAATAAGTAAATAGTGCTATAAAAATTTTAAATACATTGATAATAATAGGTGAAAATTTTTATAGTTATTAGTACAGTAGAGAACCATTTATCCGGTATCCAGATAACCGGGAAACCAGAAAACCGGGAAAATTTTTGCTCGAATTTCCCGCCATTTTAAACTAGAACGAAAAAAGCGGAAATTGGACTCATCCTTGAAGTTGAGTAGAGGAAAATGTAAGGAAGGGGAAATTTTTTTTCCCCGTTTACCCAGAGAAACGTCATTTCCTCCGTGACCTTGAAGGCAGGGAAGGGAGGAATGTTTTATTTTTTCCTTTAGGCCGTCAATCAAACTCAAGGGTGTGGCATGCTGATTTCGTTTTCTGCTTGATTTACGAGGGGGGTGGGGAAAATGCATTGCATGCATATCAGTGAACAGAAAAAGAAAAGAGAAAAATATATTTATTTGACATCGACTAATAAAAATAAAATCTTTTTCTTTTGAATAAATTCTCATTCTTTGGAAGTGCGGTATCAATTGCAAGTTTTTCTTGGTGTGGAATCACATCTGCTGTAATTAAAAATCTTGTTTTTATCAACAAAAAAAAAAATAAAATAAAAGGAGAATTGTTTATTAATTTAAACATAGGATTATTTTATGAAGCAGATTGCAGTTTTGTTTTTCTGATTCCACTACGTTTGATTTTTTTTCTTTTCGCGATAAATTTCGCACTCAATAAATTAATTCTTTTTATTCATAAATTTTATCATTAGGTTTTTTTTTTTGAATTCCGTTGATCTTGCCTTGTTCCGGGTTTTAATATTTATGCTAGTGCCTTTTTTAACTATCGTTTCGGTTCGATAATTTTCAAGTGTTTTTATTTAGATTAATAAGTTTTCCTTTTATTTTATCGTTTCCCCCCGTATAATTAGGTATGAAATATATTGCGTTATTTAATCATTGGTTTTGTTTATATTATTTAATTTAGGAATTGTAATTATTTTTAAAAAATAAATATGAGAATTTTGTATTTTTTAAACTTGATTTTCTTGTCTAAACTTGCAAATTTTTTTGTTCTTTTAAATGTTATATTTCTACCATTTTTTTTTCTTTTTAAAGTTAGGAGTACCTTTCTTTTTTCTCTTACTTTATGCATTACACTTTTTCCTTGTACTTCGGGTTCGATAAAACATCGATTAACGACACTTTTTGGTCGATCCAGAAAACCGGGAAATTCAGATATCCGGGATAGCGATGGTCCCGAGCATCCCGGATAATTGGTTCTCTACTGTATTACAATAAAGTAGCAAGAAAATTTTAATTTGATTATGAATTCATGTTAGTTGACAAAGGTATAACTAATGAAAGCTATAATTTTGACCAATACATAATTGTAGGCACTTAAAACCAAATAATAATGAGGCTTGTAAGAACATTTCAATGTTCTCTAAGATGCTCTTAGAGAACAAATATTTTCCTTAAATATCAATAATCTAAAGATGCAATATTTTTTGTTTATTGAAATAATTTAAAATACGTTTTTTTTTTAAACTTATAGTAAATAAATAAATAAAAATTTATAGTAAATAAATAGATTTTTTTCTTTACAATCAAATTTTCACTTTTTTTCTCTGTTGTAGTAAAATTTGGAAACAAAAATTAAAGTATTTTTGTTTTTTTTACAAATAAAATATGGAGAATTCTATTCATGTTTTACTTTTAGCATACTTTTACTATTATTTTGTATTTAAGAAAATATCTTTTTTTGTTTTATTCATAGAAGTATACAGAAGCAGCAAAAGCTCTCTAATTACAATTTAAATAAAAACAAAAATATAAGTTTTTCAGCACACTGCTAATGGCCCTTATTTCTAGGCTCATTATAATTAGCTTGTACAAGACCGGGTTATTTCAACAAAGCTTAATTTTGGAATTAACCGTAATAAAAATTAATAAAAGTGTATTGGTTCAAAAGACAAATGTTACAATAATTTGTAATTATGTTGGTGCCTAAGAGATTTTTTACAATAGCAAATGACAGGTTATTACAATCAATATTGACAATAGAAAAGAGCCGGATTTTTCAATTAACCTTCAACATAAGAAAGTTTTAAATGAAAAAAGCACTTAAAATCAAAGGATTATATAATTAAATAAAATAATAATAATTAAATAAAATAATAATTAAATAATAATAATAAGTATACAACTGGGATATTCCATCGTAACAGGCTAAAAGTTATAAATAAACCTGATTAAAAATACATTTAAAAAAATCAATATAAGCCAGCAACAGTTAGTATAGCACCATAGAAACCATACGATATATTTATAATTAATAAAATAAATTCTTTAAATAATAGTACTTAAAGGTGTGGTAACAGAGAGACAAACAGAAATTACATAGACACCTTTTAAAATTTGGTAACTATGAAATAATGAATGTTTTTTTTAAAAAAACTTAATGTGTTTTATTTAATGGAAATTCAAAAAAATATTTTCATAAAATTTAATTGCTGCCAAAATTTAAATAATAAATGTAAAATCTTTTCTTGTTAACAAACTAACATCTCAAAAATCAAAATAATCTTTACTACCTTACCCCCTTTTTTTAGAAATTATTACAACTGATGTAGTGTCATTTACTATACTGATTATTTCCAAAATTAAATCAAATTTAAAACGACTTTTTATCTGGCCACACAGGAGAAAATTAGAATAATTCTGAGAATCATATTACATCACAGCTTTTCCTTCATGCAGGTGTTTCATAAGTCCAAGTTAAAAGCCTTGATTGTTCACATCTCACTCTTTTCTTGGTATGAAAACCTTTAATTTTGTCCATCATTAATAGAATAATTATGTATGTGCATATTAATTGACAGATAAAGAGGTAGAAAATTTATACTCTAAATAGTAAAAAGTTGATCCAGAAATTTGATAGCCTTGGGTCCTCAGGAACCATAATTTTTTAATTCTATTAGAATAATTTGTATTAAAACTGTTAAATTATTTTCATATTATGTCAACCTATGTTTGAACCAAATTTTATTAAAATATGTCCAGTAGTTCTGTAGTTAATCAACTAAAAATAAAAATTCTCTCAATTTTGAACATCAGTGTAAATCTTTTTTTATAAAGCCTTTAAATAATAGCAATCTTAACAAGTTATCTTAAATTAAAGCAGGGTATGAAATTTCAGTACTAAAGGTACTAGCCAAACTAAACTTTTCGCTTGGAATTTTTAAAATGCTAACAGATGTAGTATAAATATTTTCGGGTGAACAAAACCATAAAAGAATGCAGATACTGAAAAATTGAATCAGATTTATTGCACACTAATAATGAATTAAAATAAGGTTGCCATGAGGTTGTCCATTTTTTTAATGCTTGATGTTTGCACACCGTCTACCGCTCGGCACTAAAATACAAATTGTACATTGCAGCCTAAGAGTCAAAACTCTATTAAAGATGTGGGTTCATTTAGAAAAATTCTAAGTAAATCATCAAGTGTCTCAGTCTTCTAAGATCGAAGATTGCCTTTATGCTGTACTCAGTCTGTTGTAATATTCTGATTAATAGCACTTAGAGGCAAACTCTCAATGGGATACCTGCAAGTGATGTTGTGTGGGTATGATTGGTTGTTGAAAAGTAGCATTTGTTTACACTAGCAACTGTTCTTTCCATTCTATTTCGTGTAATTTGTGTCGTAGTTTGTTCTTTTAAATTATATATTCTTTCACAAAGATTCTTTAACTACATAATTACACAAAGACTTAACAAAAAGACAGACATGAAGCCATATAGAACACAAACTAATTATGCATTGAAGTTGCCAGGTACACAAATATATCATAGTTACTATAAAATAAATAAACATATAATAAATCTAAGGTGAGTAAAAGAAGTAAACAAGAAAAAATTATGTTTAAAAAACTTCAATGTGCTGCACAGTGCTTTAATTAAGAAACTTCATGTTAATTAAGATTCTAACTCATGTGGAGAAACTTAGCTCAACTTTAACAGGTCATTTTGCTGATAAACGATCAGCTGGCGCTGACCTCATAGGTCACATGTGTTGGTATGTGATCTTCTTTTTGAAGTGCAAGTACTCAATTACGGATAAATATGTTAGTTTGATTTAAAATACAAAATTTCACTAGACAAAATTTATTCATCAGCCTTAAATATTCGACCACCAATGGGGAGTTGGCAAATGAAAATTTCCCATACTCTGTAAAAGTATCATATTTAAAACAGGTACAGATATTGCACAAAAATGTATTGAATTAGAAGACATAAAATTGAAAACGTGATGTCAGAATATTTTTTTATAAAATCAAAATTAATCTTGAGCAGAGCAGTATTATAATACCTTTCTTAGACCACTCAGATCTGGTGGAGTCTCACAAGATGGAACCCATATTTTGATATCATCATCTAATCCACTAGTAGCTAAGACTGGCATAATTGGATTCGGCTCTAAACAATTAACCTGCAATAAATTTTCATACATTTTTTAAAACTTAGATAAAAGTGTTTTTCTTTTTAAAAAATTAATAATAACATTCACATAAGATTATTAGCGTAACAGTTACTAATGACGGTACCTATTACTTGTTTTAAAAACCAGACCCAAGAACAACATTTTAACTTTTCAGGCTTTGGTTTTTTTTTTTTTTTTTTTTGATTTNTTTTTTTTTTTTTTTTTTTTTTTTTTTTTTTTTTTTTTTTTTTTTTTTTTTTTACATGACCAGTATGAAAAACTGGCAAAAATCTAGGATAGTAATCAAGAAAAATAATGCATGTGAAGTTTTTAAGCATTAAATTAATATAAAAACCAGGTTGTAGAATTTACGTAGAGAATCTGAGCAGTATCTTCATAAATCCAAATTTGTCTGCAAACTCAACACAGCCAGACAAAGATTATTGTAAAAATTTAGCTTAAGGTAATATACATGTAGGAAAATTTGAAAATATAAGATTCTCAAAAATTATACAAAAAAAACTTGATGCAGTTTAAATTTAAGTTGAATTTTATACAATTATACTAAAAAATGGAATAAATCTCTATAAAGTTAAGCTTATAATCAAGTAACATAAAATAAAATTACTTACTTTTTGTTTTTTGCAGTGTTCTCTCATTTGAACTATTTAATTTTTATTAGAAACAAGTTTAGAAATGTAGTAAAAAGAAGTCTTAGCAATTGTCCCCCATTTCTTTGTTTACTTTAAAAAAACCTTTGCAGCATTTGCTGCAATGATATACAAAACATAAGGATGATTTTATTGTTAGGTTTAGTACTTTCTTCAGCATTTAACACTTATATTACACTGCAAATAAATTAACAGAGAAGATAAAAATATAGTAACAAGTTCTTATCCTTACAGAGAACTTGTTACTATATGGTTTTTCTCCCCATTTCCTACAGAACTGTTAACATCCCATCTCGTTTTGGTTTTAAAGTTATTTCCAGGCCTGTTAACAAATTAAATTTAAAACCTTTAAAGATCCAATCACTATTTAATATTGCTGGGTCATTTTCCATGCACCTTTCCAATGCAACCTTGGCTACATTGAACCAATCAGGCATCTTGGCTACATTGAATAACTCATCTATTGCTGCACATTGTTGGAATCTTGAGCATAGATTTCATGCCACAATTCCATTCACCCCTGTCACATCAGTTCATCTTGAAGCCATGGAATCTTGTTTCCTTCATTTGAATGCAGATTCTCTTACTAAAATTAATCTAAGTAATTCATATTGTGAGATTCAAAAAGAAGTATATGGGGAGTACTTTTACTCGTTGAAGAGACTAATAACAATTCTAGGAACAAAAAGCTGCTCCAAATTAATAGTAAAGTAGTAAACTTCACATATATATATATATATATATATATATACAGTGAAACCTCCTATTACGGACACTCCTGCAAAACGGACGCCTCTCAATACGGACATATTTTTAATTCCCCGGGAATCTTCTATGAATAAACCATTACGTACATTCCCCGCAAAGCGGACACTCCCGTAACCGGACGGTCATTTTGATCCTGAAACGTTGTATTTTTCTTTACCTTATATTTTGATGTTTGTATTTTATAAAGGTGTCTATACTTTATTAAGGTTATAGTGACATGTAGTCACAAAGAATGAGAAGTGGCAACAATGCCAAAAATGCGTAAGAAAGTGAGTTTTTAAATTTAGGCCTTGAAAATGAATATTGTTAGTGAAAATGAGCACTAAAAAATGAATATTGTTAGTGAAAATGAGTACTAAAAATGAATATTGTTAGTGAAAATGAATTCTAAAAAATGAATATTGGATGTGGAATGAGTATTAAAATTGATTATTTTGTGAAAATAAGAAACTTAGTTGTAAGGTATGTGCTAGAAAAAATAGTGATTACTGAGATTAAGTAGTGTATTTGAGATTTATAGAAATGAAGAGGAGAGTTAGTTTCTTCACTTGAAGTATTTTAAGGAGTTAGTTAAAGAGAATATTTTGGATAACGAAGTGTAACAGAAGAGAGAAAATTTATGAGTATTTTAAAGCTTTGTGAGATGAATATTTGTGAGATTTTTGTAAGAGATTTAGGATAATGATGAAGTTTTATAAACATGCAAAGGAAGCAAGTGACTTATGTCACAAGGACTTAAACCTAGGTAGCAATTTCTTAAGGCCTATTATTTAGTTGCAACTATATTTTTATTTTTATATTAGATATTATTTTAGTATCTTAAGAAATAGAACATTAAGTGTTTTTATAAATGTTTTTATATCTATCTGTTTTTATATATTCTATTTTAAAATTTTGAGAGTTAGTATGAAACCATCGCAATTGAGGTAGTTTCATATGTTTTGTTAACATAAGATTTGAATATTGCTTTCATTTTTTAAATTGTTTTTGTAATTCAGATCATGTGATCTCAATCATCCAGATTAATATACATTTTAAATAGTTTAAATAGAAGATGGTAAGTAAGGAGTTTGATCTTTCCTCAATGAGATGAGATGTGGAGCCTGATCACCTCCGGGTCAACACCTTTGAGAGGGGGGTTATTGTAATATCTAAAATACTAGCTTAATAAAATTAAAAGGATCTTTTGAGACTAAACTCAAAAAGAATTATATCTATCTTCAAATAAGCTTATCTGGTTTCTGAGAACATTAAATTTACTTAACTTAGCCCTTCGCGTATATAGTAAGTTCCGTTGAATAACGATGAAATCTTTATTTATAAAATGAATCCACACCGTGCAATAAAAAATCGTAACGAAACCAAATTCCCATTAAAATCAAGACTATGTTGAAATATTAGTTCATCTCCATCTGGTCTTAAGATCTTCCAGACGCCGGTTCTAACATCTGGGTTTTATAGATCACATGACATGAACATATGTTACGTTAAAGAAGTGTACACTTATATTTTAGAAATGGAAGGATAAAGATGTGTCTCGGAGCTTTGCACCAATTGTATATAGATTCCTTATTCTTTATTCAATAAAAGTATAGAATATTCATTATGTTATCATCCTTATAGAAAAGGATATTAAAAATATTAAAATATGACTGCAAATTCTACGAAATGCAATATAATGATTAATGAAAAGCCACGGCCCAAGAGTTTACGAGAAAGAACGAGAACGAGCACTACATATATATATATATATAAAAAAAAAAAGCTTTGAATGCAACACTTACAACACCACCTTCATCTCCATACATGTATTTTACAATATGTTCTGTTTCTTTCTCCCAGAAAAATATGTAGCCACAATCACTTCCACTCATAACAAACTCACTTTTTGGACCAAAGTAATTGACACCTTTAACTGAAATCATATAAAGTGAGATTAATTTCAAATTAATTAATATTTATAAGAATTTTTTTTTTACAATATATTCAAAGCTTAATTTATTCTGAATTTAAGTTTTTGGAAAGAATTATGGTTATAACAGTACTTGTTACAATATTAATCTCGTAGAATCATAAAGGTTCGCAAGTATAAATTGATTTTTCAACATCTTTTTCTACAAGGAATTTTAGTTCTTAATGTAGAGTTCTGCTGCTAATTAACCAATATGTGTGCTTTGCTGTATACAAACTTGTTTTTTGAATTCTCATTTAATTTCTGGTTGCAAAAAAAAAAACTTGTTTTCTTGTCACTGATGTTAATTAACAATAGTGCAAAAACTATATTCTAGTATTTCTCAGCATATTCATATAATTATTTTGCAATAATATTTTCATTTAAAATATATAGGTTGTCTGCACACAATTTTACACAAAATATATTATAAAAATAAATGTGCATTACAAACTAAATATAACTTATTTACTGTTTAATGATTGTAACTTAATATCTTCATCATAAATTGTTGCATAATAATGTAAAATCACAGAACAAGTACAATAAAAACAAGTAACACCAATTCTAGTTTTAATCATTAGATTGTTATACTGAATAAGATTGACACTTTCCATTTAAATAAATATATAATGAAAATAACTGAAGTGATAAAATAATAACAGTGATGGCCACTAATAAAATTACTGGTTTATAAAATCAGTCATTTTCTAAAATAAAAACTGGGAGAACAAAATCAATGCAATATTTAAAAAAATTAACATCAATAAATCTTTGTAACCATTTTTTAACAATTAAGCTTTAGGAGAACATGTTTTAAAAAAGAAAAAATTCAAGTTTTTTCTAGCCTTTCTTTCTTTTCAAATCTCGAAAGATGCATAACATATTGTTCTAATCAAAAGAATTCATTTCAAATTCTGCCAAACAAACAACACCAGGTTAAATTTTTTAGACCATTCTGTAAATTAAAAAAATGCAACTAATATTTTATCAGAACATCAAGCATAAATTAAAACAGAAAAAAAAATGTAACCGTTGCAATTAATATAGATTCTAATGAATTTGAAAAGTTTAACTTTCAAACCTTTTTCGTTTTTCTTAGTGTAAATACACGGCTTTATCAAATCAAAGAACAAATTTAATTTTGGTTAATAGCAGGCACTATAGAAATAGTATAACAGTTAAATGTAATTGGCGAAAACTTCAGCAAATAAATATGAAGTATCTCTATGATCGAAATAGAATAGAATAAAAATACCATTATATAAGAGATAAAGAATAAAAACACCATTATATAAGATATAAAGAATAACTTACAGGTTAAATACAATTAAAACGTTTGATAATTTTATGTTGATGACAGTCAAAGATTTTTAGATCTTCTTTCTTAATTATGAATCACATTATATGAATGATTAAGTCCAATGAGAAATAGTTTCAGTTCATTTTAACATTATGCAGAGAAATAAAAAATATTTTAACACTAAATTCAAAAATGCTCACAGAGTTTAGAAACAAAATATTGAATAGTGTTGCTTTATTATACTTATGAAATCAGATAATTATTTCGATCAAGCAACCTTTAAAAGTGAAAATATTAATGCAACCATCTAGGATTCACATGCTTCCCACCAAAACAAACAAATTTTACACATACCCAGTTCAACTCTCATACAGAGATAGTTTTAGAATATGGTATATCATAATTATTAAATTCAAATGACAATTATTATCAAATTCTTATTTATCATAAAATGGTTATTAATCTTCATTATCTTTGGTATTATGAGGTGCACTTGCTTATACATTATTTCTACAAGCAAGTTAAAAATAATAATTTAAAGACTTTTATATATATTCTTGCTAGGGTACTAGATGTAAATTAGCCATGTATAATACAAAAGCAAAACAAGAGCCAAAACAATTATTTCAAAAATCTAACTAAAATTTTAAAGTTTTATATTACTTTATAAACATAAATATTGCTTGAATTAAAATAACATGCAATAAAAATTAAAAATCAGTAACTTACCAGTTTGACTGTTCCTGTGGCCCCTATAGCGATGCAAATACTTGTTTTGTACTGTTTCCAGGTTATCAAATGAGTATATATCTTCATCATTATAAGAAGCTAGTACTTCTACATTTAAAAAAAATGGGGGGGGGGAATTAATAAGTGAAGAGAATTGAATATTATTATTGAAATAATCAATAATTTAAAAAATTGTTAATTAAAAAAAGTTTACATAGGTTTAACTATTATACAAAAGAAAAATTAGTTATATCTCATGTGTAGTTTGATTTTTCAAATTTATTCTTTCGTTTCGTGAATCAATTTTTTACGAACTCTAAGGAATAAACCTAAACAACAATGACCATCAAACCTAAACCCAATAAACCTGTGACCATTCACATTGATTGTACCTTAATATCCAACATAAATACAACAGATATAAAAATTGATTCGCATTTTTTTCTTAAAAAGTACAAAAATCATATGAAGCTTATAATAGGGAATATAAAATTAATTTTTTTATACAATTTGAAAAAATTTACACACAAGCAGGATTACTTAACAATAAGATAATGGGATTTCACAGAAACAGTGCACAGGATTTGATACCTAGACAGTTTAAGAAGTAAATAAAGAAAAACACTCAAGTTAATAGGAAAATTACAGTAAATCTAATAAACAATGTTTCATTTAAGGCTAATATGCTTTGTGGGTAGAAATTAACTTATTGGTACAACATTTTTCTTAAACAACAATATAATAGTAAAAGCTAATAATAATATTGTTGAGAAACTGTATAGCTATAGTAAACATTACATTATGTGAACAAAAAGTGACAAATCTTGTCTCAAATAGCATACAAATGTACGCATACATTTTAAGTAAACAATATTTTATGGGGAAAAAATTAATTCTGACATTTAACCTAGTTTTAGGCATGATATAACTAAAGCCGGGAACTTTCTATTCGTACTATATTAATCTGCATTACTATTTCACATAATGTTCATCATTATTGACTTTATTCACTGTATCATTTATTGCATTATTTACTTCAATAATAATAAAATGAAGAGTTTTGGGTATATCTGACCCTCTTATAACTCCTGAACCATTTATACTAGCATCCTGAAATTCAGACAGTGAATGAAATAAAAAAATTTAGACCCAAATCCTAAAATTCATTCAAAAATTCTAATTAGATTGCTTGAAAGAGAAGTTTGAAAAATGGGATTTTTTCCTGTGTTGCCATTGTTTCTATGTCAACTAGCCATTCATAAAAATTATCCCACAGATGATTCTGTTTATATTTTAAAACTTATAGTTCTGGTAAAAAAAAGAAGTTTATTGCACATTCTTTACTGAATCATTTTTAATTACTCATGTCAGGTAAACTCACCAATTAACGTGAAAGAGGTAGCGTATGCGAACTACACCAAACAATTAGTACATATTTTTAATGTTATCTGAAACCATGTGCATTTTTTTATATATATATTTATGCTCTAAAAAGGTGCTTCTATAAGAATCAAAAGTATCTAAAATAAAAAAATAGGTTATGTAAAAAGGTAAATTAATGGAGAAATTGTACTAATTAATTTAGGAAAAGCCTTAAAAAATCACCAAACTATTGATGCCAATGATGCTCAATTACTTTTGGTAATCGGTACTGATTGAAACAAAATAGGTATTCTTTGGTTAGTCAAAAACAAGTGAAAAGTAGCCAAAAAATACAGATCTCCAGTAAATTGTTTTAACTACTTTCTTTTTAAATTTATTTTATTTAAATGCATATCAAATTGGACATTCACAAAAAATTAATTCAAATAATTAAAAAGAAAAAAAAAGTTGAATTAATTTGACCACTTCTAACTGAAAAGTACCCAAAAATAAAATAATCTGTGTACTAAAGAGCAAAATTAACTGATTAATCCCTTTAGGAGAAAGGTAAAAAATTGCCATACAATTTTTACAACCAATGATGCTCACTTAATTTTTGTAATAATTACTAACTGAAATAAAAAAATAAACTAAGTACTCTATAAACCAAAATTAATGAAAAATGGTACTAATTTGTTAAGGAGAAATGTAAACAATCAGCTTTCTATTATTGTTATTTAATTTTGTTAATGGGCACAACTGCTTTGCAGTCATTGGTGCAGTTTCTATAGGTACCAAAGATACTAATTATGGATAGAATGTACAATTTTAGTGAATTCGTTACCTATTAAAAATGCATCAATACAGTGTGGTTTTAATATAGATTCTGCAAAGTTCTTTATGACTCACTTAAAAGGAATAAGTACAAGAGAAAATTGCAAGCTTATGGAAAAATTTCAACTTTCATGAGTTGACTTTGAACAACTGCATCATGATAAATGATACTGAATACAGTTAATCTAAATTTTGATGGGATGTTCTACTAAAAGTGTGCTTTGCTTAATTTAAGAATGTAAATCTACATAAAAAGGTAATATAGTGATAAATCAAAAATATTGGAATTAATTTAACTGCATTAATTGTGTTAGTATATATCTTTCAGTTTTCTGCATGGTTTTGTAATATTGTTCAGCACTGATTTATTGTTTTTTCAACCATACGAAAAATGGGTATTCAACTAGTATATTGATAAAAGGAAATGGAAATTTTTAACAGCCGAAAAAATTTTACAGCTAACTTTCTAACTAATTTTTTTTCAACTTAATATATTTAATGTTAAAAACATAAGTTAAAATATGCATTAAAAAGAGAAGAGAGTAAAGGAAGAAAAGCTCTAAATCTAGCATTTAACAAAAAATGACAGAAAAAGACTTCATATGCATTTATGCTTTAATTTTCTAATTTATAAATGATAAGACCAAAATAAAGAAAGATTATATTAAACAATAAAATCTCAGCATCAATTTCAACTCTTTTCTTAACCATAGAGTTTTTTTTTTCTTTTCCTTTTTTATGACATTTAATATCATTTCTCTCATAACAAACAAACCAAATTTTAATCGATTCAATAAAATAATTTCCAAACTAAAACAAAAATATGGTTGAACTATCATAAAAAGACTCTTTCTTCCTTCACAAATCAATAGCAAAAATACATTACAATGCAATTCTAATTTTAGTAAATGCATTTCTCCTTTTTTTGAAAAAAATAATAAATCATTCTAATTAATTTCAAAATTTCTACACAATAACAGTGAATACCTGTTTCAATACATAACTCAGGGGTAGCAGCAAATTTTTTTAAAATTTTAGGGTAATTTTAGGAACTTTTTTCAAAAAATTTTAGGTAAATTTTAGGGGTAATATATGATTTTGCTAGGATAAAAACAGATCACACGGTAGTTTATTACATAACAGAAGATTATTACAATTCATCCACACATATCATAAATAATTGCAAGCCATAAAATAAAGCTCTGAAATTTATTAAGTCAAGAATGAAATCTCTAAAGTGTAAAAATGAAATTTCAACTTTACATATTACCTATCAGAAATTAAGTGCATAATTCAGGAACAGGCAAAAGTGAGAATAAATCAAGAGAAAAAATAAATTAACACCAACTTGGATTTTTATTTAATTTTTACCTTCTTAATCAAAACTTTATTATTACCCTTTACCTTACTTTATTAAGAAAAACTATTGTGTGATATTATTAGATTTCAAATCAGCAATTTATATTAGAAGTTAGAGAAAAACAAATTAATCATGATCATTTTTCTAATATATTCTACTGTGAAGATGAGTCCTACAAGT